GTAAAAAAAAACACTTTTGAGAAAGCTAATCTGACTTAATTTTTCAAAACGTAACATGATTAATTTGAAAAAAGAAAAGGAAAGAAACATTTAAAAAAAATAATCCCTCAGTCAAAAATTTAAATAAATTGTCAATTGATACAAGTAAGTCCACATTCTATGGCCGAAAAGAAGTCCGCATTCTAAAAAGGAGGTGTTTCATTCATCTTCATTATCCATACTAATATTTGAATATTGCTTTCATCGACTTTTTAAGTTTACTCATAATTTCCTTTACTTTGAAACAAATAATAAGTCAAAGACCCAAATGACATTAATAATTAAAACTTATTATTTTTCTAGTAAACTTATAGTTATCAAATATATGGGTTAAAAAAAAAGGCTGAAATAAAAGTGGGCCAAGCCCACAACCCATTGTTTTAGCCGTGCCCACTTTCTTAAGTCGTTGTAGTAGTCTAGCTCTAGGAGCTGAGCCTAGCTAGATTCCAAACGTAGTGAACTTGCTATGTACGTGTCTATCTAGTATCTTCCTCTAGCTCACGGCATGCTCAGTAGAGAAGTTTAAAAGAAGACAGAACCATGAGTTCTTGCTGACGGCTCACTTTACTTCACTGACCACATGGTTTTTTCCTTGATAACAAGGATGATGTGGATGAAGATAGAGAGAAAGCAATAGAGCAAAGAATTAAGATGGATATCATGCTAATTTCAGAACTAAAAAAAGCAAATAGGCCTTTGGCTCACATGTCACCGGCTGTGGCCCTCCTTTCGTATGCACGTTACATCACCTCCAAAAAAAAAAAAAAAACAATGCACACATGTTACAGAATATTCTGCACTTTGGAGGGATACAAATCAATTACATGATATGAAGTCAATTTTACAAACACAAGTTTAAAAAAAGAGTTCATTGTAAAAGATTAATCTTTTTCAAAAAAAATTTGAAGAGGCTAGCATAATAATTACTGGAAAAGAGTACAAGGCGAGAAAATTAGGTTCTGTCCAACAGGGGATGTCCCCTGTTTTTGTCATGTAATACTAAATTAATACAACCAAAGGGAATCTCATGAAAAAGAGTTAAATAACTCGGGCTTCCATGTGCTAATTTAGCTAGAAAATCTACACAAGTATTTGTGTCACGAGGGGTATGCTGCAGCACCAGGTTCTGAAATTCACAGACACATTGTTGTATCTCAATTATCTCAGTGTATAAGTGGTGATCTCTTGCTGTACCTTTGTAAAATAGGTCAATAGCTTTCATGGAATCTGAGGTCATGTAGACGTTCCTAGCATTTATACGTATATAAACCTCGACATCAAATTTAATGGCTTTAAGTTTAGCGATAGTAATTGGGACATTTCCCGAGTTACTGATGAAGCCAATGATCTAGTCTCCGTTTGAGTCCCTAAGTAGGCCTCCGCACGCTGCATTACTCTGATGGTTCACTGAGGCATCTACGTCTAATTGAAGAGTTCCATTTTCTGGGCTGACCATCCAGGCTCGTGATATCTCCTCCATCCTGTGTTATTTAACTTTAGGTGATGCAGACCACGTTCCTCCAAAAGCCTCAATCTACATATATTCAAGATGTTCTCACTAGTATGATTTGTATTTTCAAAACTTGACACCGCGTTGTCCAGAGAAGCCAACATATATTGCCAAAGATCTTGCCCCATGGCCCAGATTGAAATAATATCCCTCCTAGGTTCTGTTTTGGCATTCCAAAAGAACCAGTCTTGCAACCAACGAGGAAAAAAAATTGTTATGAAAAGCAATATTTAAGATCTTTTCCCAAGCCTCCTTGCTCTCTTGCAATCTCTCGAAATGTGCATCACACTTTCCTCACTATCATACTTAAAAGGTTAGATAGCATCATCGATGATCCCTCTTTTTCTTCTAAAAAGGTTTCTTGGAATTCTTTCATGAAGGGTCTACCAAAGAAAAAATTTAACCTTTTCCCGTAAAAGCCACTTCCACAGTCTAGTCTGGATCTTAGGTGTAAGCGTAGACGCCCTTCCTTTGAGGAAGGTGTAAGCCGACTTAATTGAGAATCTACTATCTGTAGTAGGTCTCCACTAGAAACCATCTTTTTGAGGATTAGAAGGGGGAGGTGAGGCCATAATTTTATCCACAATGGTAGTAGGGAAATAGCATTGGAGATTTTGCTCTTTCCAGTCCTTCAAAGCAAGGGAAAAATCAAATACCTTGGCCATGGCATTAAATCTTTGCCCCTATATGATAGCATATTCAATTAGAAGTTTCTCCAAGGGAGCCCATAAATCCCACTAGAAGCTAGTGTTATTACCATTATTTACCTTTCTACCTATACCTTAGATGAAAATTTCCTAAACCTTTGTTATCTTGTTCCACGTATGGGAAGCTGAAAGATTCTTTACTACGGCTGGAACACTGCCATCTCCACACTTATATTTGGTTCTAAGACATTTGACCTAAACCACATCGGGGTTAATGAGAATACCCCCAACACAACTTCATCAAAAAGGTTTGATTTTGAAGATGAAGGGTTTTTTATCCATCTTAACTCTTTGCTCTATTGCTTGGAATGAGATGCATTTTCCTTTGGTTATCCCTATTGTTCCCAAAAAGACCCCTCCTACACTTATTAATTTCCTTCAAGATCCCCACCGAAATATGCATGATTTGCATAAAGTAAGAGGGAAGTGTAGAAATGACAGACTTAATCAAAACAGTTCTACTAGTCATATTTAAGAAAAAATATTTCCAAGCAAAAAGCCTAGAGTGAACTTTTTGAATGATGGAAGAGAACATACCTTTAGTGACCCAAATATGGAGAAGAGGAATACCTAAATATTTGCCTAAATCAGAGGTGAACCCCACACCAAGATTTTGACTCAACTCCCTCACATGTTGATGATTGGCACCTTTTGAAAAGAAGAGTTTAGTCTTCTCAAGATTCATCCTATGTCCCGAAGCCAGACAAAAATCATGTATGACTTTTTTGATTAAATTCGCTTGCTTAAGAGAGGCCTTTGAAAATAGAATTAAGTCATTCGCAAAAAACAAGTAAAATATTTGAGGACTCGAGGTAGACAGATTCAAAGGTTTCTAAAGCTTTGTAGCATAGTAATCATGAATCATCATGTCCATTCGCTCCATACATAGAATGAGAAGGTAAGAGCTTAAGAGGTCCCCTTGTCTTATTTATCTAGAGAGTTGGAATTCGTTGGACTCTTGTTCATTCTAAAGAACTCTCATAGAATGCATTTCATAATAATGTGAATAAAATTTGGGCCAAGTCCAATGCAATGAAAAGTTTAGGCTATAAAAGACCAATCAAGATGGTTGTAGGCTTTTTCAAAATTCACTTTTACGGCTATATACCCTTTCTTTCTCTTTCTAGCTCGCATGGCATGTATAGCTTCTTATGCAATGATAATATTGTCACAACTCTGATGGCCAGCTATAAAGCTACATTGATTTGGCTTAATAAGATAATCCAAATACTTCTTCAATTGATTTGCAATGATTTTTGTGAAAACTTTAAAACTTCCATTATAAAGTGAAATGGGTTTGAGTTCCTTAAGGCAAGAAGGGGGGTCTACTTTTGGAATCAAGCAAATGTTGGTTTGATTAATAGACTTAATATTGGAAGGATCTGAAAAAAGACTCCTAACAAAAGAGCTAACCTTGCTACCAATGATGTCCTAATGGGTCTAGTAAAAATGAACTTGGAGGCCATCCTAAGGCCTTCAAAGCTCCCATAAAAAAAATTTCATTTTTAACTTCCCAATCCATCACCTCCTTTTAAATATCTTGCAACTTTGCTTTAGATAATGTTGAAAAATTTTCAAGAATATTTTCAAAGTTAGCCTCATTATTTTCCTTGGTATATAAATTCTTGAAAAATGCACAGGCCATATCTTTGAGCGTGCTCTAATTAGAAATCCAATTCCTCTCATTGTCCTTTAAAGCCTCAATCCTCTTTTTCCTTCTCTTGATCATAGTGGAGGCTTGAAAGAACCAAGTTTTTTTGTCTTCTTACTTGAGCTACTTACATCTTGATTTTTGGTACCAAATCAAGATATACCACAACACTTCAAGAGATTCTCTCCCTCATTTGAAAGCCCACATGTTTTAATAGGAGGCTATATTCACAACACTTCACCTAACTTTCATCTTGTTAGAATTCTTTGTAAATAGTCTTCTCTAACATATCTATCCCTCAATAAAATGTCAATATTATAAATACAAGTTTAAAGAGAATGTTCATTTCATAAGATTAGCTTGTTAAGTGAAAAAATTCTTTAAATTTATAAACTTTTCTTATATTATTATGCGACTCCATGATATAAGACTTGTATCAATCAAATACAAGATTACTATTAATTCTATACTATATCACTAATTGGTAATTGGCGCTTCTACTTCCTCATTTACTTTAACTTATCAAACAAAAACGTAATCATGAGAAAATTTCAGTGGCTGAAATATAGAGGTTGGGATTAAAAAAATACAAAAAGTAGAGGTATGATTCAAGAGAGACATTAGTTGTTGTCAAGAAGAGCCTGCTTCTTATGCCTATCTAAAAAAAATAGAGAAAGGCTATGACTGGGGAGACAAAGGGATTGTGCTCTCTAATTATTGATTGAATTAATGATTAATCATATTTTCTTAGCCACCTATAATTAATCACATTTGATTAGACATAGTTTTTGTGGCACGCACAAAGTTTTAATATAAAATTGTTCACTGTTTGTAATTGAATTTACTCTATGCATATGCTTTTTTCTTAATATTTTATACTGAATTATGTTGATTGATATGTTACTGGGGGAGATTATAGAATTAAAGCGTCTCACAATCTGAAAATACTTTTATTAAAATTAAAATAAAAAGTAATAAACTGTTGGATTCGCAAAAATTACGTTTCCCCAATCAGGGTCCTTCGTTGTAATTTTCTTCTAATTTCGGACCTCAGCATCTGAATCTGGCACTGCCACCAGAACCAAAACCCATCGACAAGTCTTCGCCTCAGCGCGCCCTCACTCAGACACACGCCCCGCGCGTTAATTGGCACACCGACCTAGAGAACCTTACCATCTGAATGAAAGCTTTTCAAAATCCAAACACTGTTTATTCTTCGATTGGGCATGGATTTACAGAAAAATCTCCAGTCGAGGCCTTCTACTTCTTCTTCGAGTGCTTTTATTCCGCCACACCGCACCCAACTTCACCCTCGGATGATCTCAGTCTATTCTTCTCCGCCTCACCCGAACCTTCAGCCAAATTCTAACAGGCAATCAACCAAATGGCTCATCCTTGCCGCCTCTCTTTGCACCGTCCCTTTCTTGTTCTACCTCTTCACTACCGCGCAAAAAATCCACACCTCTTCCAAATTCGCTGAGCCAAAGTCTACATTCTTCGGACTTGTTATCAATGCGGGTTCCTCGTATACCAAAATCAACGTCTTCGAGTTTCTCGGGGAGGGTCGGATTCCCTTCCTTGACGAGGCTGGGTCGAACTCGATGAAGATTGGGGTTGGATTGATGGATTTTGCAGGGGACCCTGATGGGGCCGGAGCCTCCATTGTGCAGCTAGTCGAGTTTGCTAAGCAGCAAGTCCCGAAGAAGGAGTGGGGAAGGACTAAGGTTCAGTTGATAGCCACGCCGGAGTTGGAGAATTTGAGTGTAGATGTGAGGGAGAAGATATTGGACTCTTGCAGACAGTTTCTAAGGTCGTCCGCGTTTTTGTTCAAGGATGAATGGACACGAGTAATTCGAGGTAATGTCGTTGTTGGTTCTTCTGTGATTTTAATCTGTTGCCCAATGTTGGTGCGAGCAGTGATGATTTAAAAGGAACCCCGGTAATAATTGAGATCATGATATTAGGCATGCAGGAAGTCTGCTAAAAATTGATGATTTTGGTGCATTTTAATAATGACTAACTGGTGCTAACAGTCTATGGTTACTTCGATAAATGAGGAAAATAATATTAAAAAGTGGCGGTTTCTGCTCCCGATGATGGACGAACTGATAAAACAGTTGCGCTCTGATTGGCTATTGGCTTCTAATCCCAAGAGATGGATGGCAAGTCACTTGATCAGTGATTACCCAATGGCTCGTGTTGTGTGATGTTTGGTGTTTTCTCTCAACTGTGCGCATTGGGTGATGCAATTATCTTACCATCTTGTGCGGAGTGTTTGGCTTTACTGGAGTGGACAACAAGAAGATATATTTTAAGGATTTCTACTTTTTAAGAGTTCACTTTTGAAGTGTTTGTTTCATTACTGCTCTACTTCCTTACTTCCTTTGTCTTTTTTGGACCTTTTAGATTCTTATGATTATTTAATGTGATAACGTTTTTATTCCCTCTGTGATTAAATCTCATGCACTATTACTTCTATGAAAGAAAAATGAAATAGAATAGATTCATCAGATTGAATTGATTCATTTGTCTTGATTTATATGAACCATTTCTATAATTTGTAATCCATTGTCCTACTAGGGAAAAAATTGTTCTAGAATTTAAAAATTCAAAGCTGCCTCTTAGGTAAAGTTGTTCGTTTGGGTATACTTCTAGAGAAAAAGCACAACCGGAATTTTTCTATATTCAAATATCTCGCACTGCTATATTCTTAATCAAAGCAACTAAAAATGAAAGTTTTAGAGCTTTATCATCCATATCACTCATATACAACAATAAAATTAGGAAGGAACTTTAGTTATCTTATCAAGAAGGGTTTTCTAGTCTTCCGTTCTGCCTATAACTTTCCTGCACTTCTCCCTGTTTTGGGGTCATTTGTGCTTAAGCCATGTTTTGCTCCATTCTGAGCTGTGTTGGGGTGTGTTCGAACCTTAATTTCCCCCCTATCTTTGTTCTATGTATGTTGGAGTTGGACATGTGTTAAACTTTTATGACAGTGTCAGTAATGGATGCATAACTTACCCGTTGGTTGGTGCTTTTGTAAGTTAAAACACCCATTTCTCTTGATATTTGCATCATGTGTAAGGATAGCTTTGAATTAGGTGCTCATCCTTGTGTACACTGATGTTATAGTGAAATGAACAGTGTTGTTGTAGAACATTGAGTGTGTGTTTGGTCTTTGGAGATTTTTCTTATGGAAAGGTTCCAATTGTTTGAAAGTAAAAGGGAGGCTAAAATAAACTGTGGGAAGTTTTTGAGGTCTTACAACATCTTTGGTTGGGGAGGAAGTGTGGAACTCTCTAATTTTTAAGGATTCTCTTTGCATTCTGAGGAGTTGTGGTAAAGGATAGTGTATATGCCCTTATTTTAATATTTTTCTCTTGATCTTTTTAAGGGGCTAGCCTGCTTGATTGCAAAGATATTGGGCTGTTTTACTGTCTTTTTTTAGTTAACAAGTTTAAGTCATTCTTATATTATTGCTCTCCTTTAATTTTGATTTCTTTTCAGAGGTTCTTTACTCTCCTGTTTTGCAATTTTGTCTCACTTAATGACATTTTCTTTTCTTTTCTTTTTGTCTCTTTTCTATAAGAAAAACCTCAAATTTCTTTGAATACTGGTTTCAGAAACATTTAATTATTATTCTTAACGCTTCTTATAGTTAACTGTTAAACATGGAAAACAGTAGGCTGTGCTAATCCGCTCTACATGAATCTGTATCTAAAAATTCCACTTTCCACAGTGGTCACCAATGTGAAAATTCAAACTTCAGTTAATATTATTAAGTGGCAATAGGAAGATATACTTTTGGAGCTGGCATATTGGTCAAATTATTTACACCCGAATCTGCTCCTTTTCTTACGTATCTGTATTCAACTGTTGAACTTTTATTGAAAGAGATTAAAGGGAAAAAAGAAATATGGGTTATTACAACTGTGGTGGAGGTCAATGGAGGAGGAAAGAGAATAGAGACCCGTTATTTATACCTGGCCATGTTGATATTGCTTACACAGAAGTTATAACAAATTAATTTATTATTTTTTGAAATGTTGTTTTGATTACTGTTGCTTTCTGGTGGGCTTGAGCTTTTTTCATGTTAATGAGAAACTATATACTCATAACACAGGTGAAGAGCAAGGTATCTCTTCTTGGGTTGCTGCAAATTATGCTCTTGGAAACTTGGGACGTGAGCCTCAAGAAACTGCTGGAATAGTTCAACTTGGTGGGGATTCTTTGCAGGTTTTCTCATTCACTAATTTACAGTTTAATTCATGTATGCATGAATCTAAATTTTTCATTATTACTCATTTCTCCTTAAACACTTGTATGACTAGATTGCGGGCTTGTGCTTTGTGCGGAGCTTGAGATAAGATGCACTGTTTATAACTAATGAACAGTGTTGTTTTCTGATGATTTTATACTATATAGATTTATCCATACATGCTTTACATCTGTTTGTAACATGTGATAGAATATCAACTTGTTGGACAAGGTTCTGCCTGTGTTCATTTTGTAGACTTATTGCCTCAGTACAGAGAGATGTAATTGGTTAAAAAATGCACACATTTTTGGTTTTCTTCTTCTTTTTTTTAAACTTTTATTTTTAACTGATACATGACAGATTTGTCGGGATGAAGTGCGAAGTAATGTTGGTTGACATGTTTGGGCAAAGTGTTTTCAATTTGTGTGAGAATTTTGTTCTTCTAAAGGTGCTGAATACATATATGAAGTACACTGGTATTTGTAGGTCACATTGGCGTTGTTAAATTCAAAGTCAGTACAGCCTTCCCAGACTATTAAATTGTCTGGAGTTACCTACAATCTCTATACTCAGAGTTGGCCCGAACTTGGCCAGGTATCTCCCTGCTCTTTCCAAGTTTATAGATTATATGCCTGTTTCAAAGTGTTGGATGATGTGTTCTATTTATTTATTGTTTACTTGCTGTCAACTGATGTCATAAAGAAATTTAAGTTTTGTATTTCCTTCATCTTCCCACATTAAGGTTCCAAGAAACCATCACCAGAATGGCCAGAAGCCTACTCTTGGAAGATTGAAAGGGCTCTCACATAATGGTTTTCAAGCCACGCTACCTGAGACCACTGTGAGGACCCACCTGAGCTATAGCCTATACCCCACATGCCCATCCTCTAATGAGAAGACCTAAAGTGCCTGATGCCATCCTCTAGAAAGTAGACCACCTAGGTTGCCTAGTGACTTACTCTAGTTACCAGATTCCTTGGAAGACTAAAATATCTCACTTTGCTAGCTGGGCAAGATTCCTAGGAGAAGTATGAGATTGAATTGGACGTTGGAAGCTCATGCCTATTGGGATGCTAGCTAGAGAAATTCTTGTCCAGTTCAATTTGGTTTTTAGATGACGTGCAAAAGCTTTAACTGTACTAGTCTAGCCATTCTCCATTTTGTCAGGGATCAATAGTTGCCCTCACTTCTCCCCTGAGAAATATTACGTGAGAGTGACTTGAAAGGTCTTGATTGACGAAGCTTTTGTGTTGGGCCCAACTCCAGGATACTCTAAATTGGGATGAATGTTTACATTTTTAGAACTGGCTCCTTATCAGTTAAGACAATTTTCTGTTGTAAGCTGTCAAACTCATACCTTTAAGTCCTAATAAAGACTATTACCACTTTCCTTGAATGATGTCCATATCAAAGCCACTCCCTCTCCCTTGTCAATGACAAGACACCTTTATATGACCTTAAATTATCTTATGATCATGCTTAAGCTGCTTTTTAAAGGAGCCCAAATCAGCTTGCTACCTTGATGATTTAATACCCCTCAGCATGATCCTCCGTTGGCCAAATGTTAACCTATCTTCTCTCCACTGCAAATAGATCCACATGACATCATTTAGATTACTAGAATTTCTTGTATTGAAAGTGTTGCTTTACTGATTTTTTTCCAGGGACTCCCCCTCTTTACTACCCATCATTAGACATTTTGCTTATCACACTCGAGAGTTGTTTTTAGCCATAGCCATAAAGGAACTAAACTCATACTTGCTTCATATATGGTTCTGGCCTTTCTCCCAGAGGTACAGTTTATGGTATTTATGGGAACATTTTCCTCTTCTTACCTAAAGAATTGCATGTAAGTGCTCCATTCTGCCTGAATCCAGATTCCCATTATTATCTAGGATTCCTAACATTTTTATATCTCCACTTCTCCTTGAAGGCTTGAACCCACTTGTTACGAGAACATTCTGTTTTTGGCAGTGAATAGGTGTATGCTGGAAGCCATTACTACTACTTGAATGTGTTTTCTTTTGAATGAATTGTTTTCATTGATTGATATCAATTATTTATCCTCATTGAAGCTTTAAGTTTAATGTTCTATTTTAATCGACATTCTTGGACAGGATGTAGCATTGAAATCGTTGGAGGAACTGCTTAATCATAGGGAATCAAAATTTTGTAAGTAATGATTTGGGAACCTACAACCTTCACTTTGTGTAGTACAAAAATGAAGTTTATTTGTTGTATGTTTTTGTAGATGCTAGTACTATAATTGTATTAGTCTTGCAATATCAAACTTGGATGTTGATGGCTCTTTGATACATCTGATATTGGTATGACTAATGCGTATTGGAGTAACCCAGAGTATATTGGAGGGTGACGGAATCATGATCTCATTCCTGCTGAACATGCTTGATTAAGTGGTTTAAAGAAATTGAATGAGAACATTTTACGGTAACAAGTACTAGCAACAAAGTTTTTATATGGTCATTTGAAAAAGTATAATACTCAACAAAACTAAAACTAATATTATAATTATAACTATAATAATAATTATTATTAATGGTAATAGGTGACATTGGTTTTATTGGAAGGTGATAATGCCAATTCATCCTCAGAACCACAGGGCTTTTATTTTTTGCCTCGCAAGTTTCATTGGGGAATTTTGGCCTGAAATAAAGCATTGAATGTTAGGCATTGACAGCACAGTTCTGCTCCAAATTACACATCAGATGTGCCTTCATAGTTGTTTGATGAACATTGCTGTGTCGAATGTTATTACGGGGAGAAAAATTCCATAGATGGTTTCACATAGGAAATTTCCTACTTGTTAGAAGTTGATGATATGAGATGATTTGCTCTAGCAATTGGTTCTATGGCCATTACACTCTTGAAAAATTTTATATAACCAAAAGTAGATTAGGGTTTCAATGCAATTTATTTTAGAAATAATTAAAGGCTATTGTTTGGTGGAATGAAGATTAAGAATACAAATTGATGACAATGTTAGTTTAGATACTAGATCTTGTAAAAATACTAATATTAACACTTAAATACTAATGCATTTCCTATTTCACGTCATCCTTTTTCCGATCAACATCAATGTAAAATATAAAATTTATAATAAGACACACTGTTACAAGACGAATTGTATAACTCATTCTCTATATTCAATGCACTGGGAAATGTGTCTAGTTATGCTTTATGTAAGCACCTAATCGAAGGAAACTGATTCTTTTTCCTTGTTGATCATCTAGAGCTTATGATGTAATCAATGTGGTATCTGGTATGTCTAGGCAGTTGCAACTATGAGCTCCTGTCTTTAGTTGTGGCATTTTTTGATAGTCAATAGTTATGTTATCAATAAGTGGTCAGGAAGGAAAAGGCGGTGTGTTATTAATATTTAGTGGAGTCCCTGTGGTTGAAGATGGCTTAGCATGTGGGGGGGAAAGGGTCATTTGTGTTTATAGAGAAATGTTTTGTGATCTAAAGTTCATGCAAGTCTTTTTGCAAGACCTTGTCAAAAATGCCATTTATGAACTTTCACTCTGAATCAAATGGTACAATCTGATGATTGCCAGTCATTCATTTTTATTGATGCGCAGCTTCAAGATCTATCAGAAACAATATTGGTAACCCTTGCATTCCAAAAGGGTATTCTTGGAACTCTAATGCAAGTTATGTGCATCGCCCAATTGTCCAAGCTGCTGGAAATTATTCTGCATGCAAATCTGAAACTGGGACATTTTTAAAGAGAAGAGAAGGTTTCTTCATATTTTGATATTTTACTATAATCAGTATCTAAGCTATACTTTTGGACCAATTTTGATCACTTCTGCGGCTTGCTAACTTACGTTTTTTATGATGTGTTTCTTGTGGAAGCTTCGTCTATTGTGCTGTTTTTCATTGGATGTTTTTTGTATTTCATCCTTCAAGACTAAATGGCTCAGTGATATAATCTTTTCAATAAATAGCCCTCTATAATTCCATATGCATGCTTTCATATTAAAAAAAGTTATATGCATTTGCTGTCACTGACTGATATACATGCTGCTTAATGACAAAAAAAGAGATTTACAAATTGCCTATGACAAGGCTACTATTGCCGACAAGGCTGCTTGTTCATTGATCATTACTATATTGCTTTGCTTCTTGGCCAACTGCGACCTGCTAAGAAGCAACATGCACTTGATGTTGGTTGCCAACTGATGCTTCAATCTTCATTTTCTTATTGTTCTCAACATTAGAAACTATTAAAATCATTTTTTATCAAATCAAATACAGACATGATGCCTATGGTTGATCGAAATTGCTCGAACCCCTGAAGTAGCATTGTTTTACATTCAGTTCAACTTACTTTAGGACTCGTGATCTGTGTCTTCCTAGGAAAGCTTTCTTAACTGATGGTAAATGGGATTGGAGAGCTCTTATATTTGGGCAATGCTGTTTTCTTCCTTTTAAGTACAGAGAAGATATCCTAGACTGCTTGTCTGTGTTACCTTTTACAGAGATGATATTCACTTGTAATTGTTTCTCTTAATGCAGATAGATGCCAACACCAACCATGTGAAGTTACCTCTTCTTTTCTCAAGTTATCAGGCGTGCAAATTTCTTCAGGAAACTTCTTCTACACCTCTGAGGTTCATATTTGGTGACCTTTGTTTTTTTTTTTTTTTATCATTAGTTGTTCCATTTGCATGGATTTTATAAGCTCATGTATAGAAGTTTTTTGTTAGGGGCACTTAGGCTGTTTGGTTGGAGGGGAGGAGAGGGGAGGGGGGTATCCCCCTAATTTGGGGGGGGGGGGGAGGTTTTGGCAAGGGGAGGGGGGATTTTTTAAAATTTCCCCTCCCCTCCTCTCCCCATAGTTAGTGTGAAAGGTCATACCTGACCTATCATCACTATTTCTGCCTTGGTTGAATGCTTGAGGTTGCTCTATTGCACGATCTAATTATAACCTAATAATTATAATCCAACCTAACCTTTAAGATACAGACAAATAACTAGTAGTGCCAAATGCTAAAATTTGGGGCAAAGTTCTGAGTCACTTGTGACTCTTGCTTCTGTAACATATAGATGGTGTTTGATACATTGGAATTTAGTTTTCCTCGTACTTGGAAACCTATTCATAAAATGTTTGAGTTTATCAAATTTTAAAAATTTATGCATTGTAAGTATCCTATAAGGATATTAATATATATCTATATATATATTTTGTTCATCTTGTGTTCATAAAATATCAAATGCTGCCAGAGCTTCTTAAGAAGATAGAAGAATAGGACAGAGATTTATTTATATTATATTTGCCTATGTTTGCTTCGCTCTTTTCTTCTAGGACAAGGTCTCACCCTCCCCTTTGCGGAAAAATTCACCTTTTTAATGAAATAATGTTTTATTGAGAATATTAAAGATGAAGAAGCTATATGCCATCGCACCCTCATGATATGATCATATGGTATAACTGCCCCTTGGTCATTGATATTTTACTGTATAGATGAACCTTATGGTGTACCTGGATTGATCTAGTATCTTAAGGCCGTATGTTAGATTAAATTTCTCATATATTATAAGGGCTAACTTCATTACTCTGCTCTCCACCCCTTTGAGAGGCTTCTGATGGGACCCTGTGTTTTTTCCCCCTAAGCATGTGCGAACATTATATGAGGTATTAGGAAATTGAGCATTATGTTGAGTTTGCCCCACAGTCATTCTTGCATATATTCCTGCTATTGCTCTCGGCTCAAAAGTTAATAAACGTCTGAGTGGAAATAAGCTATGGCTGGATTCTTCTTTAAAGGTTATAAGGAATGTATAAAGATGAAGCAGAATATAAGAAATACTTGAATAACCTAAATGTATGTAGGTTAACTTCAACAGCAATCTGCATTGGAAGCACATCTACTTGACTCCCCTTACACTCTCTTTGTAGCTGTGCTAAAACGATGCATCTGTTAAATTAGTGACATCATTTCCACGTAATTCAATGTCCTTCAGTTTTTTGGGATGGTTCCTAGGGCTTCTTTGTCTGAACTGGAAGCAGCTGGCCGACATTACTGTGAAGATCATTGGGATGCTCTTAAAAATCAACATAATGAAATTGATGATCTGGATCTATCAAAGTATTGTTTCTCTTCTGCGTATATGGTGGCAATTTTGCATGACGTTTTTGGGATATCTATGGAAGAGAGAAGGTATGCCAACTATGTTCCCAAACAAGCTGGCTAAGCTGAAATTTTTGTAATTGCTGAAGAGATGAAGTAATTAAAATTGGCTCTCTGTTTTTGTGTGTGTGTGGGGAAATGCAAGATTCATATTTTTATTATCGATTGAAAATTTGAATTTAGAAAAATAAGTTGGGGCGATTTTTCAAGAAATGAGTTTAAGTATATGATTGATGACATTTGCAGGATTGGATTTGGAAATCGGAAGGGGACTTTTCACATTGACTGGACCCTTGGATCCTTCATTGTTGAAACGATGACAGAACCCGTTGAATTGGAACCTGTGGACACAGGGCTGATTGTTGGGAATGAATCAGTCACATACTTCTCAATGTTTGCATTTCTTTTTCTATTTGTACTGGCTGCATTCTTTGTACTGCAATGGAGAAAGCCACAATTAAAGACTGTATATGACCTCGAGAAGGGACACTACATTGTTACTCGTGTACCTAGGTAATACTATCATCTGTGCCTTGAATTCATTCTTTTCATTTTAAGATGAAATTTTCAGCTGGTGTATCTCTTGATCAAGCAATATTTGGAAGAGAAAGTATGAACTTTAAAGCAGGGTAACTGTTTGTTTGCAAACTACATCGAAATTATTTTAGAAACTGAAGGGGCAATTTTGTAGAGTGCTTTAGGGTGTATGCTCCTCATTTTTCCTTTTTTTTTTTTTCTTTTTAAAAGATTCGTGAATGCATCTTTTTTAATTTCTTTTCTTTTCTTTTCTTTTCTTTTCTCTTTTTATTTTTGTACTTACTTGAAGCTATAGTGGTAGAACAGGGGCTTTTGATAGCATGAATAATGCACTTGTGTCTGTTATTGAAGGGTGCAAAGAGTCCTGAATTAGACGACTTGGGTAATTAATTCACATTGAAGAACGCTTTTGTGCCATGTTTTGTTGGTGAGTTGTTGTGGACATCTAGTTTTTTAGTTTAGGAGCTATAAGGTATTCTGATGGAACCCTCTATGCTAATAAACTTAAAACAGGCAAAAATACAGAAAAATACACAGAAAATGAGACTAAACAGAATAATGGAGTTGTATTGTCAACAAAATGAACTAAAAGTACAGAGTACATGAAACAACACAAAATACAACCAGTACAACAACAAAAACATAAGTTACACATGAACAAATGATGAAGAAAGATATCTTCCTCCACCCTAATCTGGTATTCGAGAGGTCAGAGTTCTTCTCATCACTTATAATTTTCAAAATACTCCACACCCTCCCTCTGGATGAAAGGAGAGATTTAAAGACCCAAAAAGTTATAAAAAGTTGAACATAATCCTAGCTGAATTTAATCCCTATTCATACATCACTTTGTCCCCCTATAGTCAGGAACCATTGGGTAATTCTCTTATCCACTGGAAGATAATTCTTTAGTTTCTTTCCTACACTATGTCCCTCCATGTACACTATGTTATAGGCCCTAAGAAATGATATATAAATCTGTTCTAATTATTCAGCTCTATCATATTCCAATTCTGCCTCAAGGGGCATGTCTATTGTGGTGAATACTAAGAAATTATCTGGCACGTAATGGGAAGAAAAATATAATGGGAAAAAATAATTTTGATGAAGAATAACTCATATTCTTTTTTTTTTTTTTGATAATGTGAGATAATAATATAAGAGATTTAATTAAATAATTAGTACCATATTTCACAATCCTCAGGCAGCATTTGTCACTCTTGCTTTTGGTTGATGAAAGAATTCATCCACATGTTTGAGCAATGTGCTTATCTTGGATGATGCCTTGGCTCACATTGATGATAATCTATTATTCGTAACTTCGAGAGAGATGACGAGGCTCCTTTTTTGGTTTTTTGGGAGAAGAAGCTACTCGAGCAACTTGCTGTTCTTTGCCAGTTAAAGGCTTTATAGCCCAATTACATGCATGTTTTCCTGTAAATGTCCGTGCTATAATTGATGTCATTTACTTTATGTTATTTCCCCATAAGAAACTCAAATTTATACTTTATGTGATTAAACTCAAGCTTCGTAAGAGTATAACCAAGCAAATCCATTTGATGCCAAAAAAAAAAAACACAGCAAATCCATTTACGATGAATTTAATAGACTTGAAATTAAATTAAAAACACAGGGATGGGCAGTATCCTAGAAAACATCATTCCCTCGAGTCTCTTATATGATTATGAGGTCTCTTTCAAAAATAAAACTTGACCCAAATTATAAGTTGTGGTCATGATATAAAATGATGTCTTATTTTTACTTAAGCAAGGCATAACGAAATTTTCTTTATTTAATAAAAGCATAACTAGAATATTAGGATTTCTTGGACAAATAAAGCCATCAAATAATTTTTCTTTAATTTGTTAAAAAAATGTTTGAACAGGGAACCATAAATTTTAACATCTGACTTGAGAAGTTTTCTGATTGGGATAGCCTGCTAGATAGGTTCACACCGCGGCAAAACCCTTTTTCTGTTTTTATTTATTTAACAGTTATTTATTTATTTATTTTTTTAAAAAAAGCACTCTACATACTACGTTCAACCTTAATCCCTAACTAGTGAAAGGTACCCGTGCCTGGCACAGGTAATTTCAGGAATAATTTATTTTTTAAATTATTTTATGGTAAAAAAAATTTCTCCAATAAGGACAATGGCATGCAATATTTAACCCAATAAACTCACTCCATAATAGAACACAGGGCATTTGCAAGTAATTTATATTGTAATTGCAATTATAAAGTGAACTCAATATTTTATATTTTGAATGTAGTAAAGTTTTTGGATGATGCCTTATTATATAATTCAGAGTGAATATTTGCTAATACTAATAAAAAAAAACCCTCTCCTTTCCCCTTTTTCATTTTCACGTTATACCAAACAATACTAAATTTCTTCCTAAAGCAGCATCCAAAGCATATGTAAAAGGATACATAAACAATCTTGTCAAAACTAAAGACCAACTCACCATCTCCATTCAAAATTAGGCTAGAATTTTTTTTTTGGTAATTCCTGCCATTAATTTGAATGGCACCTTTGTCCCTTGTGATTTCTAATAATTTAACAGATGAATCTCCATTTATGCAAGTTAAAATAACCAAAGTGGTTAGCAGAGTTAGTAATTTGAATGCAATAGGCTTATTCAAATTAAGTTTAAAATATTCTATCCTCTTAAAAAGCTTATAAAATCAAGTTCAATCCTAAATTTTTTTGATCAAGTTTGGGTTGGCTTTTGGGCTTGACCAAAATTGTCAACTTCATATATATGTATATATAGGGTTGAAAGTTCTAACAATTGAACTTATTTGAGTTGGACTTAATTCGGGTTAGGTTTATTCGAATCAAGTTTAAAGTATCTCATTTTCTTAAAAAAAAAAAAGCTCATACAGTCAAATCTAACCTTAACTTTTTTCGGGTGGGTTTGAGTTGTTCCTTCAAGCTTAGCATGAATTCTAGACAATTTTCTTTTATTGACAAATTCAGGGCCTATGATCTACTGCAACTGAACAAAAATTCATTGATATCAAAACTTATATACATACATATATGCTTATGTGATAGTGGAAGTGTATCTATACAATAATATTTAAATTTCATTGACAATCATGCATATGTGTGTGCATGTGTTATTTTCCCAAAAAATAAAGAAATTTTCCCAAAAAATAAAGAAAAAAGAAATACTTCTTTGTCACCTCTAAGATCTACAGCCAGCTTTTGTTATTCAACTAAATCACATAAATTTTCAAGATATAAGTGGAAATTTTCTTCCTTGTGAGCTTCAACTTGCACAAAATATTACTAACAGCTGGATCACTAAGTCATAAATTACATTGACAGCCATATCCAATAATGAATTGAGTACAAGGATAGATGTTGATTCTAAAAAAGTATGAGAAGTAAAAACACATTAATTTCAAATTCTATAAAGGTTATAACCAAGAATGAAGGAGCACTCTAACCAAGAGTGGGGAATTAATTCCCATTTTTGATTTATAATATGAAAAAAATGAAGGAATCAAAACCCTTATTTTAGAATTCAACAATATCACAAATAAATATTATAACTAATAGCAATATTGTCAGCAAAAAGTAGACGAACAAGATATCGATAGACATAACAACATACTAAAAGTTTTAGATTCATCATATCTTTATTGTTGTGCAAAAACAGAACAAAAATTTAAGGGCAAAAAATTTTAGTTAATATATGTACTTATTTAAACTGCGGCAAACCCAGTCGCTCCATTTCGTGTGCCTAGTTAAACCCTCTCAGTCCAAAACCCTTTTTCTGTTTTTATTTATTTAATATTTATTTATTTATTTTCCAAGTAAAGCACTCTACATACTGCGTTCAGCCTTAAGCCCTAATTCGCTCTCGTTTCTCCCTCGGTCTCACTCCTGAAGCTTCTAGCTCTTCAACCTCCTCCAGTCCCTAACAATGGCAGCTATGCTGGTACGCTTTCTTTGCCTCTAAGCTTCTCTGTGTCTATCTGCACTTGGTCGATGTTCTCTCTAAACTCTTTTGTTTTGTTTGGAAATCTGGAAACAAGCAGCAACCCCAGATCATATTGCTGAAAGAAGGGACCGACACATCTCAAGGAAAGGCACAGTTGGTGAGCAACATCAATGCGTGTACCGCAGTGGCAGATGTGGTGCGAACGACTCTCGGGCCGCGGGGGATGGACAAACTGATCCACGATGAAAAGGGAAATGTCACCATTTCCAACGATGGTGCCACTATCATGAAGCTCTTAGACATCGTTCATCCCGCTGCTAAGATCCTTGTCGACATTGCCAGGTCTCAAGACTCCGAGGTAATTCAGGGGAATAATGTTTTTACAGGCGCATTCTCTCTATTCTTCGGGGGTATATTGTGCTTAGTGTGAGGGCTGGTGTGAAGAAGTTATCAGTTTTTGATTCCTAGGTCGCTAGGTAGTATAGTTGCTTATACAGGGCTTTCCGTTCATTTTCAGACCGAATCAGGGATGGGCACTAATATGGTTCTGTTTGTTGATTTGGATTGATTGTTTTGAGTGATGCTCTTGGTATTGTTTGGTGAAAATAACATTTCTTTCGTCGATTTTTTTATGCGAAGAAAACTGCCATGCTATTGGACTTTATAGTTTGTCCTTCTAGTCAGCTGCAGGAAGGGTCGCAATTTTAAGGAATGTTTTTGTCTAATCATAGTCATCGATAGAGGAAGAGATATGTTCTCTATGCCATTATCCCATTAGAGAGACTTCCCTTTGTAAGAAATCAATTTATAATTCTAAAGCTCCTTCAAAAGTCAAATATTTTTACTGGTGACAAAAATAGTGTTCTAAGTAATGAACATGAATGACATCATGTATAGTTGATGATGACACAGCTTTGTCTCCTAATTTTTGTATTACGAGCTTGAATGATGCAGAACTGGAGATTATTTATTTTTGCTTTGTTGATTGGCGACCATTTTGTGGAACCTAACGTTTCGGTTCTCTCTGAGTTAGTTTTCTCACAGAATTTAAAGCTGGTTTTATCACGTCAAAGATCCTGGTTTGACATAGTATGGTAGAATTTTGAGGGTTTTCACTGTAATTTGAATTATTTATGGGCAAGGACAGTGTTGACAGCTTCTTTTTGGTAGTTGGCAGGGGTCCTTTCAAGACAGTGTTTGTGTTGGATTTGCAGGGAAACTAGGAAGCTTTACCTTTAAGTTTTAGTTTCTTTTATTGTATTAATTCTATTTTGATCCTTTATGTTGGGATAATTCCCTGACCTTTTCACTTGTACCTGTTCTTCCTTCTTGGATAATTTTCTTTTATCAAACAAATATTACTTTTTTCAGTTTGGATGCCAAGATGCGCTGTAGATGTTGTGATGATTATCTTACATGAATGGGTATTTGAATTTGTGGAACTCTATATTTAATGATTACTATTGTTATTCATATTGGAAAGGTTGGTGATGGAACAACCACTGTGGTATTGCTTGCGGCTGAGTTCTTAAGAGAGGCTAAGCCTTTTATTGAAGATGGCGTGCACTCACAAAATTTGATTCGGAGCTATAGGACTGCTTCCTCCTTGGTACTCAATTGAATCTACGTTCTTTCCTTTGACCTGAACAACTGTGTGTTGTTCTTACATGCTGTCTCGTTATGTATCATGCATAATTCTTATAGGCAATTGAGAAGATCAAAGAACTAGCTGTCAGTATAGAGGGAAAAAGTCTGGAAGAGAAGAAAAACTTGCTTGCAAAATGTGCTGCTACAACACTTTCTTCTAAGCTCATTGGTGGAGAGAAAGAATTCTTTGCATCAATGGTTGTTGATGCTGTGGTTGCAATTGGAAATGAAGACAGGATGAACATGATTGGAATAAAGAAGGTACATGATCAGTTATTTTACAAGCTTGTGAAAAAATTCATAAGATACTTGTTTAATGAATCCAAAATATGTGAATTGAACTAACCACAAGCCAAGTGGCTTGACCAGCACAATTGAAGATGAAGGAATGAGTTTAAATAAAGTTTGAGTGCTGGTGGTGTAGGTTGCTTTTCTTTCTTGAATGTTTTATTGCTATCAATAAGTTATGTGAAGATTAGGCTTTATCTGGAAAATCATTTTGTATAGCTGTTTGATGGAGGTTCTTCTACAGGTTCCAGGCGGTAATATGAGGGACTCCTTTCTAGTGAATGGTGTTGCCTTCAAAAAGACATTTTCATATGCTGGCTTTGAACAACAACCAAAGAAGTTTCTCAATCCTAAGATACTCTTACTAAATGTTGAGTTAGAGCTGAAGTCTGAGAAAGAGAATGCTGAAATAAGGTTTAATATTTAAAAAAATCGTCCTTTTTGTTTTTCTCTCTTTTGATGTAGCCATCATCTTATTGAATGAATACTAAGCTTATGGTACCTATTCGTCTTTCTACTGCATTCTACAGACTATCAGATCCGGCACAATATCAGTCTATTGTTGATGCAGAATGGAATATCATATATGACAAGTTGGATAAATGTGTCCAGAGTGGAGCCAAAGTTGTTCTTTCACGATTGGCTATTGGTGATCTCGCTACGCAGGTTTTTCTTTGAACATTCTTCATCACAGCTTATTTTTATCTTAATCTGGATGCATTTAGTAGTTTTTCAATTGAACATTTTGGCACCACATGCAGTATCATTGGTTTATGAAGTTTCCACCTGTGATACTTATCTATTGCTTGGATACCGGCTTCTGACTTTGTTGTCTTAATAATACACTAGGACTTTGTTGAATAACATTTCCTTGAAACAGTATTTTGCAGACAGAGATATCTTCTGTGCTGGTCGTGTGGCTGAAGAAGATCTTCAAAGGGTTGCTGCTGCAACTGGTGGAACTGTACAGACATCTGTCAATAATATTATTGATGAGGTATCATCACCTTTTTAATTGTGAAAAAAATTGTTTTATGCTATGATATTCTCACTTAAGCTGGAATAAATGCTATCAATGTGTATTTGCTTTGCTATGGTATTTTCTGTCACTGCTAAAATCGTTTTGATTTATTTGCTTGAAGGTCCTTGGAACTTGTGAAGTTTTTGAGGAAAAGCAAGTAGGAAATGAGAGGTTTAATATATTTAATGGTTGTCCATCTGGCCGGACAGCTACCATAGTTCTCCGTGGTGGAGCTGATCAGGTTTGTCTGAGGATGCATAATGGCTGCAGAAATCAATCTAAACCAATCTGTCTAATGATCTGTTCTTGGGCTCATATTTTTTTAGTTGTGTTTTTCTTACAGTTCATAGAGGAAGCAGAACGAAGTCTTCATGATGCAATCATGATTGTTAGAAGGGCTTTAAAGAATTCTAACGTAGTTGCTGGTGGTGGTGCTATAGATGTATGTGTTTCAAATGTATATATCTGGTTATGTTATTAAGTGTTTAAAAGATTAACAGGTGATTCTTTGTGGCAGATGGAAATCAGCAGGTATTTGAGGCAGCATGCTCGTACAATAGCTGGGAAGTCTCAGCTTTTTATCAACTCTTATGCTAAAGCTCTTGAGGTAGCTGCCCTTGTATATTTCGCTTTTCTTCCCACATTTGTGGTTTGTGTCCCAATATTTCTTTATAAATAGAACCAGGATATGGTAGAAAATGAGTGAAATACAAGCAGAGGATTTGATATTCTCCAAACAGTATGTTTAGTGGACAATCATGGAAAGAAAAATTACTGTTGGATAAATAGTTACCCACATTGTAAAAAAAGTTGTTTTTGTAGCATTGTCAATCCCTGTCTTGATTTTCCTCCTCTGTAATTCCATTGTCTCTTGCTCCTCTAAAGGCAAAGTCAGGCCTTGCTAGAACCTGCAAGGTCCAAGAAAAACCAACAACCTCCACTTGAGATCTGGAGAACTGCTTATTGTCTTATTGGCTTGGAAACTGTAATGCCTCATTTGGCACGTTAGAATTGGGACTGGAGAAGTGGAAGTGGAAGTGGAATACTAAAATTTGCTTATTTGGTGCGCAAGAACCTAATTCCACGAAAAACCATGGAACTCACTTCTATCATATCCCCATGAGAACTCAATTTCATCCCTCTCACATGAATAAAATTTTTAGCTCACTTCCATCACCATACCAAACATATTTATTATCTCACTTCGACTTTCACTTCCATCAAAAACACTTCCCTCGTACCAAACAGGGCCTAAGAAGTGAGAAATGAAGGAATTGACATCCTAGCCATGCCAGTATATGTTCTGTTTAAAGAGTTTGTTTACTTGATTGGATATTGATGCAAAAGCTCATGTTGCAATTGCAGGTCATCCCTCGGCAATTATGTGACAATGCTGGATTTGATGCAACTGATGTGCTGAACAAATTGAGACAGAAACACGCTCTTCCTTCTGGTTGGTTGGCTGTTTAATATATGCATGCGTGTCATGTCAACATATAGCAAGATTGCTAGCAAGCCTAGCCTAGCGGAATTCTAGTGTTTTTGAACTTTTTTAATAGAATCAACACCAACCTAAGCTGGTCCGAAGTTAAATCTTAGCCTGGCCTAGTTGAGTGTTGGGTTTCCTGCATTCATCTGTGTTGCTTTGCTTGACCTGAGAGCTTGCGCTTTATCATGTCATGTATATCTTATAGAGTTATTATGGGAGGCAAGTCTTTGAAAATCTGTATACTGCATTTCCTTAACAGGTGAGGGGGCACCATACGGCGTGGACATCACCACTGGTGGAATTGCTGACTCATTTGCTAACTTTGTGTGGGAGCCTGCAGTTGTGAAGGTATCTTCATATCATCTGTACAATTGTAGAGTCTGATTGTTATATTTTCTCTGGATAGTGATTAAAGCTAAATGATGAATTTGCAGGTCAATGCTATAAACGCTGCCACAGAGGCAGCTTGCCTTATCTTAAGTGTGGATGAAACAGTTAAAAACCCGAAGGTAAGGTTTTTTAGAAGTTCTGTTCTTCCTCAGATGTTTCCTCTTCTCTTGTCCTGCTTCCTATTCTCCATGGCTTGCTGAATTAGAATGATCTATTACTATTATGTTAAATATATGTACTCAAGCATAAGTAGAATAGTTTCTTGTTTGACAACATTATTGGATGATGCTTCACTGTTCTATCGGAAATATTTTGAAGTCAATAGAAAAATATTTCTGTTTTTCCATGTGCAGTCTGAGAGTGCACAAGGAGAGGCTGCTGCTAGTGCCATGGGGGGCAGAGGTCGTGGAGGTGGCTTCCCGGGTCGTGGGGGGCGAGGTATGAGAAGGCGATGAGCGAAGTTAAAAGCTGTATATCTAACATGCAAAAGTGAACTTGATGTTGGTTTCTGGCTTTATGGAATGCGCTCGCTGGATCCATCTATTCTGCAGATTGATGTTGGCAGAGGAATCGTCCTGTATTTTGATCTAATGACCACTTCGTCATGTCGAACTAAAGATGCGGGTAGCATCCCGAGCGCGTCCATCTGGTCGCTTTTTTTAATTTTATTATTATTTTTGGCTTTAAAGCGTTCTTCTGGTCACTTCTATGCCTGTTTTTCGTTGGAGGGATGAAACTATTGTATGATAGTTGATAAAACTTGTTATATTGCATGTGAAATTTTGCGGCAGCTTTTTCTGATACTTAAAGGTCATGTATTGTTGTTTTTTCTGATCTAATTCTTGTAGTAAAACTATATCAAGTTGAAACAATTTTGCAGTATGAAATGAGACTCTTTGCCGTCTAGATGGGGCCTCGGTTATGCTTATGATCATATGGACAAGGACTAGGAAAATAGTAGTCATTATCTAGATGGGCCCCAATAGTAGTCATTCTTTCACTCCTTTCATATCTGCCTTCCCTTTCTAAAGCCCAGCATTCATGCATGCACGATTCATCTGTGAAGTCATGAAAACCTTGGTTGTTTCAAAATGACATTAATCGAGACACATATTTAAGCCAAGGTCTGAACAGATAATTTTTTTTCGTCGTAGTAAACACGATTGATCGTCATGCGGACACAGACAATACAATAAATTGGGGGTATCCTGAATTCAGTTCAACAAAAAATATAAACCTTATAATCTCCAGAGTTACAATAAGCAGTTATCTATTCGGTCACATCCGGAAGCATTAAGATGGAAAAGGCACCTATTAAAATGAGTTACGTATTTTGTTAAAAATAAAAAAAAAGGGTAAAAACAAGAACTAATTTTTTCCCCCTCATACAGGCTAGCTAGTAAGAGAGCTATAGGGAAAACAAAAGAAAAAAGAACTAAAATTGAAATTGCATCTGGGAACTGTATCCAAGCGCTTCTAGATGAGTGGCCATGGCCTTGTTCATAGGAGGGGGTCCACACCTTAATACCTGTGAGTTTCAAAAAAAGAGAGATATATATATATATATAGAGAGAGAGAGAGAGAGAGAGTAATCAATTAATGTAACATTGACCTTGATATCAGGAGCTGGTGCAGGGCAATGTGCTTGGATAATTTCCTTGGATACAAATCCGACACCGCCATCCCATCCTTCTGGTGGCTGTTATGTGTAAAATCAAGAAACCATCTAAAAGCCAGCTTTCTAGGCTACTACATAAAAGAGAACAATATGCTTTCTCATTGTTTCACCCAATTTTTTATTATCTTTATAGTTTCAAAAATTATAATTAGGCTTTTAAAATTTAAGATTTTTAATTTATTCTTGTTATAATATTTTTCCCAATATTTTATCATCTATAAGTAAGTTAATTTTAATTTATTATCTCTACTTTTTATCTATTTATTACCATAAATCACACATATTCAGAATATAAAGATAATATATTTTCTTATATCAATAAAATTTAACAAATACTCTCAATTTTGACATGGATTATGCTAATACGAACAATTCTCCTAGGCACAAGGCATTGACAGTTTGTTCAACCACAAATCCTTGACTGGGTTTTTCCTAAAACCTATGAATTAGTGAGAATGAATAATCATATTCCCTGAAGGCTCATGATAAGAGATTTTTTTTTGGATTGAATCATGATAAGAGAATTTAATCGACCTTTCACCGGATAATATGTTGATAAGAACCCAACAATTTTACGTTAATGGGATGTGTCAGCATGATATTATTCAGCGTTGGTTGATTTATAAAAATCAGAAAAAACACTTATTATCAATCAAATAAAAATATAAGTTACGGATCAAATACCTGATTTAGAACATAATAAACCCTGAATTGACTAGAGAACTTGAGTGCAAATTCATCCAGCTCTTCCTGAAAAGAAACAAGCAAAATGCATTTAAGTTCCTGGAAAATGTGCAAGCCCAGTATGATGAGTCCCTTGATGGATATCTTCTTACACCCTTGAGAAAAAATTACGAAGACAAGGACCCATAGAAAGCTACAACTGAACTTGATCCCTAGAGTCCTTTATTTTCCATTGGAACGCAGAAAGTCACAAGCCACGAAAGGGACTATGACTGAGGAATTGAAACGTGATATTCATATTAGATACACGCCAGTGCTGCCGCGGATGACCATACATCAAAAGAGATGAAGATATATTTAAGAGATGAAGATATATTTACCTTTAAGAGAATGTCATCGTAAGTAACATTGGCATAGATCAAATGAATGTTAGTTTTGTCTTGTGGATTTTCCAGTATGGCTCTCGTGACCTCAAGAAATAAGAAAGAGACTTGATCAATTCCCAAAATATTGAAATGGAAGAACAATGGACGGCACAAAAGCTCGCAAATCTACACCTGAAACATTGGCGTGATGCCAGTGCCGCCAGCAATCATGCCAAAAGCTCTAACTTCATTGGGTTGGTACTTAAAGCGTCCCTGGATGCATAACAAAAAGTACATCTTAAAAAGTGATGCGTCAGGTGCAAAATTGTTCATACACAAAATTCTCACATCATGAAAGCCGCTCTCATGCAATTTATAATAATTCAAGCGTTAACTACAAGAGAAATTCCAAAGATAATGATAAAAGATAATTAAGACTCTTAGGCAACAATAAACCCTGATTCCAAGATGATAATAAACTCCTAATATTGAGTCCTCCTTTAAAAGGGTTTCTTAACAGTGTGGATGACATTATAAGCATTATAAGATAAAGCAATCATAACAGTACGCATGATTATAGTGCATGTGAAACAATTTTCAAACATAAATGTAACATATGCACACGTAATAGTGTGAGAGATTCCAACATCCCGCATACAACTAATAGAACAAAACATAGCATGACAAAAGATAGGACTTCACTACTGAACATACCAGACAACACGAATGGCACAAAAGAACACTGATATTTGACATGTAGATAAGTAGCACACCACCTCAACTCAACACTACTTACAAGCCCACAACCATAAAGCAATCATTGGCGCACAACACAGCACAGCAACAAAGAATCTAAACACAAAATTGATAACAGACTAGTAGTGGCTTTTGAGAAGCCAACTCTCTCCCAAGTCATCCTTTCCCAAAATTTTCCCTCCCTTTTCTTTCAATGCTGGTCTTCGCTCAGATAGTTTCCCCTCAACCGCTTCCAACCACTCACCTCCTTCTCTAGCAGCAAGACATCCTCCTTCTGCCTCCCTTCTCCACTAACACTTCTAGCACAAACAACAAAACAATGAGTTGTCCCCCTGCTCATGGCCGCTTTATTCACAGCTCCATCAGTCGCATTTCAACTTGTTTAGTTATCTACTATAGGCTTTTATGGTCAGGGCAGTTTGATTAGGCTGATCATACTCTTTCTAGTCCTATTTGTAGGACATCTAGAAGTAATTTTTACACCTTGTAACAAGTAAACCACTTTTTTTTTTCAATTTTACCTTTTCTTGATTAACATGAAGGTATTTAATGTAGTTGTATCATGATTTAAAGTCAAAGGTAAAAATGAAAGTACATTTCATTTTTTTTATGATATAAAAAAATTAACTTTTCTTAAGATATGTGAAACAGTTGAAAGTGTCATACAATAAGGATTAGAGGGAGTATGTTCAAAAAAAAAAAAAAATCTTTAAAGCGTTCCACAAGAAATATCCACTATCACGTAACAACAACAAGCAGCTTTATCACACTAGGTAAAATAAAAATAAAATCATAGGTTGTAGGCATGAATAACTTTCTTCCTTCACAGGCTTAGTCAATGAATCAATTAAATCAATTTTTCCTTCTTCTATAATGGTCAAAGTGAAATAAGCATGTCATGAAACAAAACCTAGCAATGAATCAATGGATAACAAAATGAAATTGCTTTAAATACCTTAGGTCCCTTCACGTCCAAATAATCACCGACATGCATCTCTCGGAAATGGTGAGACATCCTTCCTTGTGGATACATCTATTTATGGACCGGAAACAATATGAAAGAAAAGCAAGCAATATTCCAATTATAAAGAAACCCAAATTTAGTTATGCTTAAAAACTGACGAAAGAAAACTAGTGGTATGTGACCTTTATAACTAAATCAAAGTATCCAACATCAGTATCCAATGTTGTTGGTGTATATGGTTTGACAACTTCATCATCAAGACTGTCTTTCCCTCTGTATAAAAGAACAAATTATCTCTGAGCTCAATGTATTATAATGGACTATACTTCCGTCAGCAAATATCATGCAATAGGACTGTAGGAAAAGTTGAATAAACCTGGGACCGGCTCCAGCTACTTAAGATGAAATTAGGAACTGGCTTCATCCAAGAATTGAAAAAGAAAAACATTGAATGCAAACCTGCAGCTTATATGTTGTCCTATGGGAAGTCCTAACACTGAGGTAGCTGTTGGAAGACTAAATCGAAACTTGGCCACATTATGGCTGAGTTGTGTGCGTTGAACAAGTTTAAATTCCTTGAAGTTCTCGGGGTCCAAACAACCTACCAAGACAAGTAGTAACATAATTTAAGATACAGAAGAGAGGCAGAATAAGCCAATTCACATTTCACATCTTTAATTTTAGAAAAATAATAACAAAATTTCATATGGAATATTATATCAGTAAGCTAAAATTAAAATTTATCATTAAAATTTTATACACTGTATAATTATAAAGCTTGGATGAAATTGGCTCCCCGAAACGTCCTTTTCCGTTTTCTTTGCCCCATTTACTGTCAACTATGAGGGAATGTTTAGTATTGCAACTTTAAACTGTACAATGCATGTACCATGAAAAGAGCCTGTTTTGCCGTTTCCCTGTAATTTGTTACCGTATCAAGCCACAATTGTGCTAGCCCTGGTAGCATTTCAGTCATTTTGTCACAATCATTGCAATTATGCATCAACACTATGGTATGTATATGTTCGTCTGATAAATAAAAGTGTGTTGTTTTAATAACTTTCGGATCTTTATGTTAGTCGTGGAAGTAAGAATCACTCAATAGTGTGGTGCAAAAGCCACCATAAATTGATCTACCTCATTTAACTCCATGATTTAATTTAGCCTCACACCACAATAATGCTGTAAAATACATTATAGATATAAACTAGCAAGGGATGGCTTCGATGACGTCAATTTTCGCTCTCTACAAAACTAGGAACCTTCCAACCTGATAACCTCACGCCTCTTCTCAGCACACTTGCGGAAGAGACAACTATTAGTTCCTCTGTGTTCGTTGAATCTTTCCTATTCCGCCACGATATTGTACCGTAATCGCAAACATCTTATTCCTATTATTTTTCGTTAATATCAGGACCAATACAAAACCAAGTATGATCAGAAGCAAAACAATTCATCCATTTAATGAACGCATGATTAACTCCAACTTTGCACAATGTCCGCGAAATTCACATTCAAATCTCCGTAAAATAAACCAGAGCTCCGAGTAGTGAACAGGAAAAATGAAAACACAAACAAGAGAGGTCGAAACACCTTTAGGCTTTTTGGTGACGTAGTAATAGTAAGCGGTACCGCCCATAATAGCCACAAGAGCCACTGCCATGCTTATCATCTCAGCCCTGTGAGTATGTAGAAACTCCATTTTCAAAAAAATCGAGCTTCAAATTCGAAGAGCTTCGAGATAGAGTTATGGTGATTTTAGGTCAAAACGTACTGCAAATTGAGATGGAGGTGGAGGAGGAGGAAGAACTATTGGACAGAAGACCGTATAATTTTCTCGGTTCAGAGAGTTAATGGCCAATGGCGATAGGGGCATAGCCGCACATCGGGCGTCAGCATCCGTAGCACGTGCGATGGTCCAGATAAAAAGTAGGGAGAATTTCAATATATGACCCTAGTAAGAGTTTAATTCCAAATCAAGATCTCTAGAATCTGAAATTGTAAGGTTAAGTCATGGGACTGAATGGAAAATATATTTTAAAAAGTAATGACCCTAATATCCTTTTTATTTAATTAAAAATCCTACCTCACTAGAATTGTTGATTGTTCCCAGAGCTAGAGCTTTTAGATTCAAAATAATATTTTTAAAATTGGATCCAACATTGAATGAAAAATGTTAACAATCACAATTTGTATGGTTTAATTAGTGAGACTCATGATTGAATTGATAACATAATAATTAAATTTAAAAAATATTATATATATATATATAATAATATAAATATAAAAAATAAATATAAAATTGCTTCATAACTTAGAAACAAAGTTAAATATTCCAAGTTAATTATGAGTTAATAAACCTCATAATATAACATAACATCAAATTTGTTTCCATGTTTTCAAAGTGTTTGAAAAGCGAGGGAGGTATTATTAGAGTTAAAATTGGAACAAAGTGACAAAAAATTGAGCCTTTTAGTTTTCTCAAACCTTTGCAATTCACAATTTGTTAAAGGTTCCTAGTCTAACCATGAGTTTAAAGCATTTCAATCCAGTTCAAAAATTAAAATAGTTTTGTGGTTTAAATTGAACTAAAATAAGGACCAATTGGTAGTCCAAGTGGTTGAACCAACCAATCTAGTCTAATTTTAAAGCCCTAACTATAAGCTACCTTAGGATATTTATCCTCTAGTTATCTATATTAGGGTTCCAACGATCACTTGACAATCCAATCATTGATGGTAGGACTCTACCAAGATAGATTCTGGCATAAAAAAATTGAAGGTTATGGTTATTTTTCTTCAACACATTTTTAAATCTATTAATTGATCTTGTAAATTTTCAAATTTTATGGATCATGATTTGAAACCAAATCCCTATAAGAGTCCTAAAATTCACCCTAAAAAGTGTGTATGTCACGTGTAGCAAAAGTACAATTAATGTGTAAAGTATAAACATATCAATGCTCCTTTGCGGTACTAATATATTTATATATATAATACAAATATTATAGTTTAAAATATTTTGATGAACATTTTGCAATTTTTCATATTATGTATAAGGCAAAAAAAAAAAGCACATTTAGATGTATAAAAATCAAATTGTTATTATTTGTTGGTTATTATTAAAAAAGGAAGAATTTCAATAAAGGACCCTTAACCATACTTAATTACATTCAAAGCTTCTATAATTTTGAAATTTTACTACAATTTAAGGGTATTGATTTGATATTAAATTAATTAAAAAAAATAAAATTGCCCCTCCGTTAAATTAATATCAGAATTTTCCTACTTCACTTGTTAATTATTTTACTTCACTTATTCTCTTCAAATTAATATACAAATTAAAGGGTTAATGTCTAAATTTGTCCCTATACTCTTTCTTTAAAAGCATTGGGCACCTGTTCTCTTAAGTGGGACAAATTTTTTTTTGTGAAATATATTTTCAATGTTTAAAAATGTCCTTCTATTAACCTACAGGAGTGAAATCCACTATTATCTACTGATATGGCAACTTGTGAGCTCGTGTATGGTTCTAACTTAGCTTCAAAGCTGACTAGTATAACCCTTTTGACTAGATATGTGTCTTTCTCTTCTTTAAAATATCGAAGGCTAACCCCATTCAAAAGAAACATTCATTGTCTTCCTTGCTTTGCTTCTCCCTCCAGTTGCAATGATGGCTACTTAAGGTCTTGGGATGGCTGAATCTTCCTCCTTGCATATGGCAAATGGAAGAAAGGTCGAAACTCTGCCACTCCTCTCTAGTTTCAATGTCGTCTTTCCCAATCTTCCTCTGTCTCCTCAATTCACTCTTTGCTTCACTCATCATCATCAACCTCATCCTCCAAGCTTCTGACCTTCATCATATGTGACTTGTAACATCTCAAATTTTAATCATTGGTTTATTAATGAATCAATCAAAGTTAATTAAGTAGATATTGATATAGAAAATGCTTAAAAGGATGTAAAGAACCTTTTGGACTTAGTAATGGCCTTAGAATATGGTTTGAGGCCAAATATGGGCCATATAGGCCAAAAAGAAAAAGAAAAAGAAGGTGTGTGATCCTATACTATGCACCACGATGTGAGCATAGTATGCCATTGCATAATGGATTGAAGCAAGGAGACAAAACATATTTATGCCACAAGCCGAGGTGCGGCAAGCATGTGCCATGGTACAAGGCTCATTTTTTGTAAGAAAAAGGGATGCGAACAAACATGCAAAATAGAGAAAGGAAAGAGAGACAACGAAAGAGGGAGAATGAGAGAGCTTGGGCTTTGCCAGGGTTTGTTTCTAGTTAAAAGGAGATTGGAGTATTTTAAAGCCACTGAACCTTAAGATAAGTTTCCCAGCTTATCCTTCTCTCTTTTCAACCTATTTTCTTGAAGTTTTTGGATTAGGGTAAGTCTCCTCAATTTATTCTCCATCAGTTGAAACACGATTTTTTAATGAACTGTAGGAATACCCACAATTCCAACAAAACCATGGAAAGAGCCACGGTTGTATTAGAACTGTGGGAAATTGTGACATAAAATTAAAAAAAAATTGATATCATTATGATATATTATAATAAAATTGTCTAAATGTAATTAAAAAAATTCACAATTCAATTAGTATTTTAATTAGTCTAGAAAATTAAAATTTAATCCCACATCATTGATTATATGCTGGTTTTATGATTCTGTAGCCAGTGATTTAATTAATTCACACCAAAAAGATTAATTTAACCTGATGACAAATTTAATTAATTTAAGAAGCATTGACTAATATTGAAAATGAGTAAATTTATTAAAATCTTATCCATAATTTACCTGGTCATATATAACTTGGACAAACTAAAGATCATATATTGCATTAAAATTCCTCAGCAGAATACAAATGAAATTATTAAGACATCCAGCCAAATGACAATAATTTAAAAAAAAAAAATACAAACACAAGAAACACAAACTAAGGGACGCCACCAACAATACGAGAATCCTGCTACTGAGAGTTCTTTGGGAGGGCTACCAAAAAAATTAAAGAAATATATCAACAAGATAAAGTATAGAAGAAATATATCAAAGGATGATGAAGAAGAAAGGCAGATGATCGAAGAAGTTTTACTGGATGAATGAGTAGAAAAGATAAAATAGAGAAAAAATATATCCAATGATAAAGAAGGCGAAACACAGATGAATAAGTTTTAGAAGATGAAGAGGTAAAGCTTTGTGAAGATGAAAATAGAGGCTGAGTGCGCTTCCACGGGCAATTAGAATTTGGTGTACGCAATGCCAATGGAAAAATGAGAAAGAAGATCTAGTGCAAATGCAAAAACAACTGAATGAGTACAAATTAAAATTGAGGAGCAATATATGAGCATTCCCACGGTTTATGATAGAATCATGGAAAAATCTTCTGACAAGAAAGATATTTTCCCACGGTTGTCGACAAAACCATGAGATTTCCCACAATTTTTGTCAAAAATCGTGGGTGTTTCCACAGTTTAATTAAAGTTGAAACGAAGATAATTTTGAAAAACTACCTTTTAAAGTATACCATTGTCCAATATATAAAATCACTAATTTGTTTTTAAATACTCACTTTGACCATAACATAGAGCATTTTGTAGGAGTACTGCTTGGTCCAACATATAAGCATTGCGCAGTTTTTGTAATTTACTCTATTCTATCTATATACCCCTACTTCAAATTTTTTTTAAATATAGCCTATTGAAATTTCAATTATCATTATTAAAATACTTATATAATATTCAATGATTAAATTTGTAATTTTGATTTAAAATATAAACAACCTATTACATATAGTTTTTCCTTCATTTTATTTATTAACCTAGATTTGTATAAATGTATCTTCACTTATCATAAAGTGAATTGATAATTGAGACTAAGAGTAAAAAGAAAAAAAATGCTCATCCTGTCTCAAATTATAAAATTTTTTGAATAAAATTTCACATACTAGTAAACCTTGTTAACTACACTTAATAATTTCTTTTTTTAAATAAAAATATAAATTTTTAAAAATATAATTCATTTAATAATATTAAATCTACATTATATAGTCATTAAATATAAAGAGAAGAAATATATAATATTAAAATAAGTTTATTTAATAAAATATTAATTTTCTCAAAGTGTTTTATATCTTAGAATATCGAATATCTTTTAAAAATACTTTATAATTTGGAACTGAAGTATATTTTTTTAAAAAATAAAAATTTTATTAGTGTGCATTTTGAGTATTATTTGTATTTATTGAACTTAATTTGTAATTTTGAAAATTTTTGAAATAAAATGTTAAATAATGATAAGCAGATATTTGAAAGCATCGGTCATCAACAAAAACAGGTTTTGAAAAAGAGAAAGAATAATAGTACTAATGTTAGAAAAGTGGAAGTCGTAGTGCTGGAAGGCCCTTCGCATACAGTTGTGTGTCATCTATCACAGTGATGAAAGACATATCAGAGAGAATGAACTGTGTATTCAAATTAACAAAGCTGTGTCCTTCTATGGCACAAGGACAAACCACCACCATGCCGTGTTATTAATCATTCCTCTCAAGACCTTTTTCCATTAATGTTTCCTCATCATACATCAAAATACGTAATGCATGTCCTGATAATAAATTGCACGATCAATGCAGAAACTCCCCCCCTCCCTCCCAATATTTTTATGTAGGATTATCAACATGCAACCCACGAGTTTGATTTCTAGTTTAAAAAGAAAAAAAAAAAAAAGAACAAAGCAAGTGTTTTCCACGAGTTTCCTTGTCCTTATAAAATGGACACCCGGCAGAGAAATTGAAACACTACCAATATTCACATACAAGATCAGAAAATGGGTTCGATTTAAAAGCAGAAGACGACGACGAAGCCTCATGCAGTATGCGTGCCGTTTCCCACACAAGGACACTTAAACCCCATCATGCAGCTAGCCAGAGTGCTTCACAGCCTCGGCTTCCACATCACCTTCGTCAACACTGAGTTCAACCACGAACGCTAGCTTCGCTCTCAGGGATCAGAGTTCGTGAAGGGGTTGGGTGATTTCAAGTTCGAGACGATACCAGACGGCTTGGGTGGAACGAAGAGGGAGGGTATTCCAGCACTGTGTGAATCCCTGAGCAAGAACTGCTTTGAGCCATTCAAGAAGCTTCTGGAGAGGCTAAACGACAAGGAACCTAAGGTGAGCTGCGTCATAGCAGATGCCATCACCAGTTTTGCCGGAGATGCTGCCAAGAAACTGAACGTACCAGAGGCTCAGTTCTGGACTGGATCTTCTTGCGGCTTCTGGGGCTTTGTGCACTTCCGTCAACTTGCCATTAGAGGCATCGTTCCCTTCAAAGGTACTTAATTAACTATAACCTCTTGCTTTACTTTCTAGTATCCAGTGTACTGAAAATTGAATCACTCAATAAAGAGGTCAAATACTAGTTTAAAGGTGAATAGTTAAAATGATTAATCTTTCATTTATATAAATGGACTTCGGCTAATATCTCCCAAGAATGCACGTGGCTAGCTATCACACAAATGACACCTTATTCATTTGGACACTGGGTATATAACCTAAACCTTTCATTTCCACCATTTTTTTATTTTTTATTTTAAAAAAGACTCTCTCCAATATATAAATATTAAATGTTAAGCAGCTTACAAGGAAATGGAAGTTTATAACTTGAAAGTTTAATTGACAACTTAAATTCTGAACTATTGGTTCGCAATTTGAATTTTAAACTTATATTTTGTACATTTTAAACATGTTAATTTGTAACTAACATCTATTACTTTATGCATAATGGGCCCACATCTTCTGTACCCACATTCTCTCCCTACGGCTCCAGCTCTCTCCTCCGCCCCATCTCCATCTCTCCTTTATCAAACCCCCTATTCCGATATCACCATTCAATTCATCAACGTCATCACCATCATTGTCATTGTCTTCTTGATCATCTTATCGTCTGCATTTGATGATCTGAACGAGTCGACCACGGCGACGAGTCTTCCGTTGACCTCCATCACCATGTGAGGCCTGTTCACAGGAGAGTGGTTTCCGAACCCTAAGGCTCCGTATTAATGGAACACAACGTGCTGGGCCATCCATGAACACCAAAACTACTTGAAGTATGGAAGATCATACTAGGCTCAGAGTTCCTGAAACGGAGATGGAAACCTAATGTCTGCAACATTCCCATCTTCAATTCGTTTCAGTTTCTGAAGACACTGAGGGGAAAATATATGGCGTAAACAGCAAGGAAAAGGGATGATTCTTGGACTGCAACAGCAAGTGCGAAGCCACTTGCAAGTGTAAGTGAGTGACTGAGTTCGCCTCTTCTACCTTCTGCTTTCATAATATGTGTCCATCACCTAAAAATAAGGTAGTCCAACTCCAAGTGATAATATGATGAGATTTGAAGTCATGCCTAGAGCGTTGTCTTCTGCTTCAACGTCTATCTTCTGCTTCAGCGTCTTTCCAAAGCAAGAGAGGGGGGAGAGCCAAATGCGGGAAGCAAGAACAAATTCCTGGGCAGACAGACAATGTCGGCAGAGAAAATGTGGGCCCCATTTCGCATAAACTAACGGCCGGCTAGTTTCAAATTTCTAGTGAGAGCGACATTACCTCATATTCAATTGTACATGATTTAAAATATGCCAAATATAAGATTCAAACAGCTTCTCATCCTATAATTTAAGGTTTAAATGAAATGAAAATAGTCTTTTAATTTACATTCACGTTTCATAAAATAAAAATATGATAGAGTACAAGATCATAGTTAAGGAAAAAAAATTAAATGAAATAAATATAAAATCATGGTATTAAAAATTAAAAATTACTTTATGTTGATCATCATACCTCTGAAGAAAGAAAAATAGAAATTACTTTATGTTGATCAACGTTAAATAAATAAAAAATCATAGTTAAGGACTTAATTAAAAGTTAAAATATTTATACTTTTAATTATTTCATATAAATAATTTGTTTATATATGAATAGCTCAGGTTAATTAACCAATTTAATTTCCATGACATTGTTGATGTTTTCAGATGAAAATTTTACTACTGATGGAACCTTGGATCGGATTGATGGGATGAAAGACATGAGGATCAAAGACCTCCCAAGCGGTCTCGGAGTCACCAACTTACAAGACATCATGTTTGAATTCCTGAGATACGAAGCACAAAACTGCTTGAAATCGTCTTCAATCATCATCAACACATTCCAAGACCTAGAAAATGATGTCCTTAATGCCATCAAGGCCAAAAACCCCAATGTCTAGAGGCCCACTTCACTTGCTGGAAAAACACTTCACAAAGACGGAAAGCATTAAGTCATTATCAGGACCAGCAAGCCTCTGGAAAAACGACTCAGAATGCATCCAATGGCTAGACAAATGGTCACCAAACTCAGTGGTTTACGTGAACTATGGCAGCCTAACTATGATATCAGAACAACACTTCAAAGAGTTCGCATGGGGTCTATCAAATAGCAATCAACCATTTTTGTGGATTCTGAGGCCAAATCTGATAATGGGCGTGTCAGCAATCTTGCCCAAGGAGTTTTTAAACGAGGTGAAAGATAGGGGATAGATAGCAAGTTGGTGCCAACAAGATGAAGTGCTAGGGCATGCTTCAATCGGGGCATTTTTGACACATTGTGGGTGGAACTCTACGATAGAAAGCAAAAGTGAGGGTGTGCCATTGATATGCTGGCCATTCTTCTCAGAGCAACCCACAAATTGTAAGTATGCTTCAAGGATTGGGGGATAGGGATGGAGATGAAGCAGGATGTGAAGAAGGAGGAAGTTGCAGAGCTTGTTAAGGAGGTTATTGTGGGAGAGAAGGAGAAGAGAATGAGAGAGAGAAGCTTGGAGTGGAAGCAGAAAGCTCTCAGAGCTGTTGACGTAGGAGGTTCATCTTATGAGGGTTTCACCAGATTCATGTAGGAGGGTCTTCATTTTGACGGCCAGGCCCCTACCAGATCTGACGTCTAGAGATTGGTACTAAATCTGGAATAAACTTAGGTCAGGATGAGATCTCTCTCTTGTAGAATTTGTGTTGGTTAATAGACTATTAGTGGATTTTTCTTGCTTTTGTTGTGTTTGTTTTTGTTTAGCTACGTGTTAGGTTGTATTTAAGTTTTTTTTTGAGCGCTTTATTGGCTTCAACTATTGGTGATTGTAATTTTTTTAATGATTAATACAATTGACTCTTTTATGGCCAAAAAAAATGTAGGGATAAAAATTTATCCATGTTAATTATATATATAATCACTGAATTAATAAGGTCCCAATTAATGATTTTTTTTTTTACAATTCTTAAACTCGGTATTCTTGAAAGGAAAAAAAAATTATATATTTAGCCTCTTATATTTAAAGTGCTTGTTTCCCATTAATTAACAAAACCTAATCATATCATTGCTTCTTAACTAAAGAAAGTTGAATTGAAATATGCAAGTCATGTGCGCCTCAAAAGATAAGCTTAGGACAGAAGTTTTTATAATTTTAAGTAATAGCATTTATATATACATATATATAATATTTTATATGAATTGAAATACTCGATCGATTGGAATGTGCATGTTATTCACCGATAAAAATAGTAGAAAGCGTGCGTCAAAATAAAAGCCTGAGTGAAGGCATGGTCACTGACATGAATAACAATAATAATGAAGTTAATGTATGAAAATGTCTGGAAATGATAATTAACGGAGAAACAGATTGTGAAGTTAAATCTCAGAAGATAATGGGAAGTAAAATAGTTGCCAATCCAAAAATGAAGGGCAGGCCAGAGGGATTAAGGCTTTTGGCTCCATTTCCTGGAGGGCTTGTCAGTGATCCTCCTGTCATTTATTCACAGGCATTAAGTTTCTAAATAATAATGATTGATTTATTATTCTCTCTCTCTCTCTCTCTCTCTCTCTGTGACTGCATAACATTAATTAACGAGTTTAAAATATCATTTTAATTAAACTCACTTTTCCTGAAATTATTGCGAAAAATGAAATGAAAGTGGTAAGATATGGTGCATACCAGGAGATAGCGAAGGAGAAGCAAGATCTGAAGGACTGGCGGGTGCTAGCTGACCATCTTGATCATTTCAATGCAACACCAATATTATATTGTCAGGAATTAAAGCAATTATATATATTCATGAAAAAATTTCATTATTCCGTATTGATTTGTAAAACAAGAATATGTATAAAAATACTCCTAAATTTAATTTCATTTTAACATTAATTAATCAACAACTTGATCTTGAAGTCGGCCGGAGACATGGATCGACTGTTTATAACATTTTATTTTGTAAGAAAACACTTTTGAAAAAGAAGGAAAGAGGTTCGCCTATATGTAGATAATAGATTAGATAATAATAAAGTGTGAATTTAAAAAAAATAAATGAAGAGGCTAAATGAGAGTATGAGTAATTGAAGGAGGTATTAATTACCTGGCGATGGTGATGGGGAATATACACTGCTGGATGGAGGCAAAGACACTGGAACTCCCACAGCTGTTGCGTACCATCCATGTGAAAATATCAAATAATATTCTTAGTGCCTTTTCATTCATATCACAGATCTGCTCATACTGTACATGACTTCTAAGTCTACCATATACTTGGAATTTGCTAAAAATTTTATATACTTTATATTTTTTAGTTTTGATCAATATACTAAAAACCAGATTAGCTACTAAACCGGTCAAAAGTATTGGTTCAAGGATTACTTATCAAAATTATATCCAATTAGTCATGAATAAAACACTTTATTGAATCTGTTAAAATATTAATTTAATAGTTTATCAATTCAACTGGTTGTACTTGTTCAGTTTTCAAGAACTATGGTTTTTGTAAATGTTTGGGACAATATATACAATAATAGATAGATCATGTTCTTATATGCACTTTTAAAATAATAAAGACTAACATAATAAAATTAATTTAAAAGACTAAAAACAACCAAAAAAAACTTACCAGCACGTACTTAGAAACAAAACAAAATTAAAAGTACAAGGATCTCCTAGCTAGCTTATATTCTCCCTAGATGTTTTCACACTCCTTGTTTATTGGAAGTGGTTTTGGTGGTTCAACAGTAAATATCGCAGTAATAACTGTCTGCAGGATTCAAGGTGCCATAATATTTTGCCTTGGCGTGGTAGTTCCAAACGTAAAAGACTCTAAACAACAACATTCAATGTGGCACGTGCAGCGCAGGTGGCTAGCTTAGCTAGGAGCGTTTGACACACAATTACATTTTGTTATGATCTGTATGGATGTCTCTTTCAATAAGAGCTGGAACCTTACTTGCTTGTCATGGTTTTCAAATATAAGAGAAAATACTTAATTCATATAATTTAAAAAAGTTAGTTAAGTATAATAATTATGTTTATAATTAAAAAATAGACTAAATTATCCTTGCAATTAATGAAATAAATTTATCTAATGAAAATAAATATTGACTTCATGGGGAATAATTTGGAAAAAATGCAATAAATGTTTCTTGAAATTTATAGTTTTACTTACAAATAAAAACAAGTTTCTCTTCTATTTGAAAATGGAGGGAATACATTACAAGGAACTAACTTCTTTCACCGACTAGGTACATTTCTAACACATAAATGAAGAGTTACCTGAGCAGGTGGAAATGGGAGGAGTAGAAACAGCACAGAGAGAGGGAAGGCGAAGAGCCTTGTTGAGGTCAAGCTTGACGCCCGCGAAGTTAGGCTTTGCCAGCAACTGACACAGACAAATAGGATTGCTATCCACAAGCCCTGCCAGCTCTCCACAGCATGCTTTTCCCGGTTTCTTCTGCTTGCTCCCTTCTTCCACATATGTCAGGCACTCCGACATGTTCATCAGCGCCGTCATACATCCGCCGCCTCCCGCAGGTCCCGGCGCCCCCGCCCCCACTGTCACATATTTTACCAAAGTTAATTAACCTGGCTTTGATTGCAATCAAATAACCATGTACATATATTTATATATAGGACTTACTTGGTGATAATGATGATGGAGGCTTTACAGTGCTGCTGCTAGATGGAGGCAAAGACACTGGCACTCCCACGGCTGTCATCAAGTCCAGTGATGTCAAATATTCCTAATTACTAAATGCATATATTAAATATAGATACGATTTTACATTATGTGTGATATGACATTGAAAATTATATATTATTGTATGTAAATATGTCATCATATATTAATTTGATGCCTGTCCAAATACTCTACGTGATTTCTATATATGGCAACACTTTGTGTCTCTTAAATGTGAATTTGCTTGCTTCAGCCTTAGAATTCAAGGCGTACGGGGATGCTGTGCTATGCATTTCTAGCATATATATGGTTAGAGTGTTGATCACAATGACATCATGTGCCCCTCAAAAGAGAGAGGCCAAAATAAATATTGCTAAGCTATTACAACTTTGTGCGTACATGAAATATGCATGACATGTCATTTTTGAAACAAAGTCGTTCGTTTTATCCCAAAAAAAAAAAAGCAGCCATTCGTTTAAAGAGGATCATCTCAAGAGTTCGAGAGAAATACATATGAATACTTTTAAAAATTCATCCTTATATTTACTTAATATAGGAGAAATATAATCTGACGAAGCGCTTATAATTCTTCATAATGAAGAGGCAGAGGGTAAAAAGGGAAACACACATGTTTTTTCATGAAAAGAATATTGTTATAAATATGTGAAATATGGTCAACTCTAAGGAGTGTCTTACAATTAATTTGAAAGGAAGATATGTGTGTGTGTGGGTGTATCCTATATAATAAATTATTAAAAATTTAAAATAAAGTAGAGAGGCAAAAATCAACTAAGTTCTTCTCAGTTCTCACACCGCAAGCCTCCGTTTTGTTTGGTTAGGCGGTGAACGGTGGTAGTTCCACGGCCATATAGATATATTGTCGTATTAAAAGCCTTCATATTATTAACAACAACAACATTCAATGCTTTCATGTGCAGGTAGGTGCCTCTCCCTCTCATACACAAACACAACTGGATTTCTAATAATAACCAGCGACCTTTATATGCATATATTACTCTACATTATATAATATTAATCATCAACTATCCACGCAAATATCGTGTATCGATCCTATAATATATCCATGTTTTCCCGTCAAATCTCAGCTCTTCAAATGCCATACTAAAACCTGGTTTAATATTTGACAATTGACACAGCAAATAAAAGGAGAAAATATAATTTTTTTGTCCTTTGAATGTTTAAAAACTATCCATTTAGTCATTAAACTTTACCTCAAATTAAAACAACTTAGTCTATATATAGTTTACTGAATCATAACATGCAATTCAGCCTTATAATTTCTAGATCAACTCAATAATCACAAGAACTAAGTTGAACCCGATCCAAGTTCATTAAACTGAATGAATTAATAAGAGAAAATTTAATTTAGTAACGAGAAGTTATATAATTAATTATCCCCAGACTGGAAATCTGGAATCACTCCACACACTTACCAGAGCAGGTAGAAACGGGGGGAGTAGAAACGCCACAAACAGAAGGAAGGTGGAGAGCCTTGTTGAGGTCAAGCTTGACGCCGGCGAATTCAGGCTTTGCCAGCAACTGACACAGACAAATAGGGTTGCCATCCACAAGCCCTGCCAGCTCCGGACAACATGCTTTGTCCGGTTTCTTCTGCTTGCTTCCTTCTTCCACATACGATAGGCAGTCTGACATGTTCGCCAACGCCGTGAAGCAATCATTGCCACCTGTCGCCGGCCCCGGAGCAGCTGCCATGGCCGTCGGTGACTGCGCCCGATGCTGGGGCTGCCGCATGCAACTAAACATAGCACCAAAGCGGTGGCTGCAGTGGCTGCCATCCTCCGTCCGGTGGGGGCCATTTCAGAGTGTGTTTGGGCAAAGCGGCAAAGGTGGTTATATATTTATGTTGGCTTCTCAGGGGCGATGCCTAGCAATTAAATAGAGCATGGAATGGGAGACTCACCAAATATTTAATTGTATTTTGTCTTATGAAAAACGTACTCCTCTGTTCAAAATTAGAGGATACTTCTTATTTTAAAGTATTTTTAAAATATAAGGTATTTTAATTTTTATTTTTTAAAGTATAATTAGTACTCTCTCTTGTATATTTATAAATCAATTTCAGCATGTTAATAAAAAAATCGTACATCTCATTAAATCTATCTTAAAATTTAATAAGTTTTCAACTCTTTCCCCAAATAAAGATAAAAAGAATTATTTTTAATAGAGTAATTTTTTTAACATTTAATAGGGCAGAAAAGTAAATATGGGTATAAAAAAATAGTAAAATACTGTATAAATAATATCAAAATTAATCTTCTCTCCCTCCCATATAAATAGAACATAAAGAGTATAATTTTTTGTTGAGACATTATACTAAGAACTTCCTCTGATCTTATTCATAAGTCAATTCTAGTACTTTCATTGGAAATTAAAAAAAAAACCTTAAATATCATTAATTTTGTTTAAAAATTTAAAAAAATTAATTTTATCCTTATTAAATATGCATACTTTAAAATTAAAAAAAAAACTCTAATATTTAATAACTTTCCCAATATTTAATAAAAATGGTAAAAATATATAATAATTATTCAGGTGTCCTATAAATAGGACAAGACGAATAAGTGTAAATAGTTAATAATATCATTAAACTTGTAAGCAAATATTTGAATTTTTAATTTTGGCTTTCACTAAAATTAATGATCATAAAAATTACAACAACTTGATACAGTTAAGAATAATGGGTAATATAAAAAAAATATAACGACTACCACATTTTTGCCCTATATTTAAAATAAATAGAATTTTAAAAATTTGCCTTATAATTAGTATTGTAGAGCGTGCATGAGTATTATTCATTTTTTCATTTAAGTAAATAGATATTATAGTGTATGTTAAATTTTTTTTTTGGTGAGACTAAGAGTATCCTTGGTTAGGAGAAGGGACAGATGTCCCTTGACAAAAGGTAGACATGTTCTGATTAAGTTTTTTCCTTATACAAATGTTAGGAATCCTAACTCCAAGAACCCAACAGTTTACTTAAAACATCATCTAATGTGTCTTAAATTTTATTCGAGTCATACGGAATCGTTTTTTTTTTATATTTTTAAAAAAATGTAAATAAACAACTAAAATTAAATGTTATTACTTTCGTCCAAAAAAAAATCAAAATGCTATTACAAACTGATGTAATTTTAAATTTTAACCAAAAATATAGGAGCGGTGGCCGTTTGACGGTTTGAGAATGTGATGAGTTATGTGAAAGTTAAAAAACCGCCAAGGTTGTCACTCCTTATTTTGGGCTTGTCAAGGTACAAACGTTGCAATTAAATAATTAAATAAATGGGAGGGCAAGTAAATGTTTTATTATATTTTTTATAAGATACAGTAATTTTTTTTGGCATTATATACATGCATTCTTTAATTTATCATAATAGGAACAATTGGTAATAAATATGGATAACTTTTTTAACTAGATTCAAATCTTAGTTTATAATGTTGCTAAGGATGGTTTCTTTTTTTATATTCAATTCTCACTGATAAAATATAATAAATTATTATTCACATAGATTTTTAAAAATTTTATTCAAGTTGTATTGAATTACTGATTTTGTTATTTTTTATTTTATTTATAGGATATTTGTCAATTTTCAGTGCTCCTTTTTATATTTTTACCTTTATTAAATGTTTTGAATACAAATATTAGTAATAAAATTTAAAAATATTTATTAAAGTTAAAAGTAAAAAATTATTAAATTTTAAGACAAAGTTAATAAAATTTAAAATTTTTTTAATATTAGTAAAATATATTAAAAATAATTTATAAATAAGATCAAGCAAAATATGTTTTCAAAATATAGCTGAAATCAAAATATCATTTTGTACTTTTGAGATATATGCTATTTAATCTTTTATAGCATAATTATAACTATAATTATAATATGATAATGGCTGGTGCATGATATATTTTTGAAAAGTCAAAAAATGACATGGACGGGAAGGTGTTTTCAAATTTAGAATTAGATTATACTTCTTTCATTTCAAATTATAAGATAATTTTAAAAAAATTTAGCACTTAAAATATATGACACTTTAATAAAATAATGTTTTAGTAATGATATTCTTTAATATTATCCTCCCTATATATTTTCTCTCTTCAATATTCTTTCATCAATGAATTATTAAATGAATGGTATTTTTAAAAATTTATATTTTTATCTTAAAAAAATAAAATTATACAAGGTATTTAATGAATTTTTATTAATATATAAAATTTTATTTAAAAATGCTTTACAATTTAGTGCTTTGGACGGAGAGAGTTTGAATTTAATAAACGCAACGGCAACCTAACACCTATTTCGCCGCAAAAATTCTGTGGCTAACTATCCCTCTCTATTTCTGAAAGAAAATTTATTTTTGCGGCCTTCACAAGTATTTTTTCTCATATTCACACATTTACTTTTTCATGCATTGGATCTTTACTTTGACCTACAATGCATAATGCAATACATAGAATCTAATTTTAGTTTTTTTATTCATATTATAATTTAATATAAATTTTATGATATTAGTTATTGATGATTAATCTAGTTCTAAAGAAACCTCTCGTGAAACATTAAAAAGGAAGTCATCCCATAATTAATGATCCATCTAAGATTTTTTTAATTAAATTTCACCTTCAATAAATTAGTTATTTATTTTTAAATTAACTTTATCTTTTTATATTTATTGTTATTAAATACCCTATAATAAATATAAATGCATACATCAATAGGAGCATTTTAAAAAAAAAAAAGTTAATGATTACACTTAAAAAATTAAAAATATCTTATATTTTTTAACGAAAAGAGTGTAATAAAAGCATATCAATGAAGATTAATCTAATTGATGAAGATTTAACTTATAATCTACAAGGTTACTGCAAAAAAAGATTACTTAGTTACAAAGATTAATTAACTGATTAGGATTTGACTTATAATCTACAAGGTTACTGCAAAAAAAAGTCACTTAGTTACAGTCCCATAATAGCAGTTTATACAACCATTACAAAATCTGATACTTGTAGCAATTTTCATCCAAACCACTATAATATTATAGTTGTTTGACCCCAGCCTTTGGTGGGAGACGTTCTAGCAATTACAACAGCGTTTACCCACTACAAAGATTGTAGCAATTCCCCAAATCACTACTAAGTGGCACGAAAGGATGGTAACGATTTTAATGGTGAAACTGCTACCAACCTGCCTCGAGTAACGAATAGTAAGCACCAGAGTGATTTATGTAGTATTTAGTACCATATTACTACCATTTTAAAAACGCACTAATGATTGTCTTACCCGAACATTGAAGCTTGATGCAATTTGGATAGCAGTTTTGACACATACATATAAACCTGCACTCTCCTATTTTTTCACTTTTGACTAAATTTTCTCTCACTTGTACTTTTTAAAATGTTGAGGGACCAGTAGCTAGACTAGCATGTAGAGGAAAGGTTATAGAGTTATGATACAAGGTAATTATCTATTTATTTTAATTTTTAAATTAATTATTTAATTTAAATATTTTATATTGTGATTTGAAGGAAGTAAAACTTTAAAACTCTGCTTTATAACTTAAAAATGGATGAAATATTTCTCTCTCCTTTTTGTTCAACCTGAGTATATTATTTCTGGAATTGAGAACATTTTTCTATAATGATTAATGGTGAGTGAAGTGGAGGCATTAGAATTTCATTTCTGTTCTTTGATGGCTAAGTTACGTATGTTGGCTTCCATCTTAGGGGGGAAAAAGAAGAATAAATTTGGGATGATGTTGAATGCAACATGGTCATAAATGAAGCCATATGTAAATGGTCCCACAAGAACGCTCTCCACAAGTTTTAGCAAATGAGTTTGGTTGGAATGTGTGCAAATTCATTGTTGTTTGGTACAAAATAAAAATGCAATTTTTTTTGAAATTTAATTTTTTTTGTTACTCATGAGTATTCTTATATTAAAAATCATTTTATTTGAAACATGATTAACATTAAATTTAAACATCTCTCTCAACATCCTTTGATTTCTTTAGGATATTTTCTAAAAAAATTTCTTCATCCTTAATATAACTCATATAGAGATTTATTAATTAATGTTTCAATTTTTCCCCCATTACAAATTATTAAAAGGAGAATTTAATTGTAATTTAGCGTTTCTACATGCTTTCTCAAATATTATGTTTTTTCTTTTTTTAATAGGAATAAAATAAAATTAAAATATTTTTTAAAAATAAATTTAATGAATTAACTGTCCTTTCTTAATTCGGTGGTTGAAAATGGAGAAAGTATTCCTTATTTTTCATATTTTTTATGTAAATTATTATTTTTATAACAATTTTCGCCAAATTTGTTTATAATGTCTAAAATGTCTAAATTAAATTATTTAAATAGCACAAGGTGTGGATTGGATCCTAACAATTTGTGATGTGTCGTTTATCAATTTTGGGAGTTGGAGGTTGGTGCCTTAAGAAGAGAGAGCATTTATGGAGAAACTAACCAATTGTTATGTAGGTTCATCTCTACTTGTGCCCCTTTTATTCTCTTGATCGCCATCACATGGAATCATTTTTGCGGCGGTGGTAATTGCTGTACTGTGGGAGAAAATTTTTTTGCCCACATATAACTTTTTAAACTTGTTAAGAGGAGTAGAGAAAAATTTAAGAGGATATCCTTGAAAGTTATTAAATACGATCTCTTAATTAATAATATTTTTAAAAATTTAATAAATAATAGAGTACAATGACATCTTATAATTCATATAACTGACTCCACCTGATGAGATAAATACTTGTTGTTGTTGTTATTGTAATCTTCATCCATTAATTACTTGTTTGAATATGTAAATGTTGTTGTCTGAACTTAAATTCCTTGTAGACTCAAAATTCCAATACTTAGAGATGGGTTATTGTAAAAAAAAAAAAAAAAAGATTAAATTTCATCTCCAGATCAAATCTGGATTCTACTTTAGAGATAAACTTAGGGGGAAAAAAAAAATAAAGAGCCTACTTGTTTACTATTCTTCAAAACTGTTTTTTTATTTTAATATTTTTAAAATGAAAAAACTTGTTTGGTTAATGATTTTTTTAATTTTTATTTTAAATTTTTTTTTAATTTTTTGTTTTTAAATACAAGAAAATCAAAACAATTTTTAACTGTTTCCATTCTTATTATTATTATTTTGTTTTACAAAGAACAAGTGGGAAACAAAAAATGGAAATTGTTCTCGTTGATGACAAACATTATATTTTTGTCACGATAAAAAAGAATCATCCATCTCATAAATTTGCAAAACAGTTTTTGAATTACCATTACTAAGCAAGTTCTTTTTTTATTTGTTCTCAAAAACAGTTTTATAAAATAACTTTTGAAAACAACAACCACACAGGCCCAAAGTTGATGTGAAACCTGCAGGGGGAAGTCCAAAAAGAAAAGATAGAGAAAGGAGGAAGAAAGAGAAAAAGAGGAAAGTAAGGAAAAATTCGAAATACTTCATTTAATTAATTAAATCTACTTACAAGTTACAATGAGAAACGATATGATTATCTTGGAAAAAAAAAAACCATATCGTCATTTATAGAGCTCTAAAAATATTTTTAAAAAAATAAATTGAATTATAACCCTAATCTAGAAAAATATTCGGTAACTTCACTGGAGAATGAAAAACATTTACACTAAAATTCCAAAATGAATAAATTGATTCATTAGCTGAAAAAAATCTTATGCCCATAAAATATGAACTAAATTTTTGAAAATTTAGGAATATGATCGATTCTTATTGATATACAAATAATTTATTATTAAAATTTAAAAATTTAGAGTTTATTATTAATATACAATAGTATATCATTGACAAATATAATAAATCGATCATAATGCAAAACATAATAAATGTTGAGTCATTTGTTTGGTTTGATCCTATAACATGGATTGTATATGTAAAAGCCCCTTCCAAAATCCCCACACACACACAACCCCTAGAACAAAACATAGCACGACAAAAGATAAGACTTGACTCAAAAAAATACGTTAAACAACACGGATGACGTTAAAAGACTTTGATATTGAAGATGTTGGATTACAATTTCATATAAAGGGGTAAGCCACCTCAATTCAACACTACTTACAACCTCACAAGTCATAACCAAAACGCTCTGAACAGATCGCACGTGCACAATACAGAACCCATAAAAAAAAAAAGGATTGTGGACAGTGGCCAAGTCGTGGGATTTGCAGTGTTGTGGTTTATTTGGTTGGAAAGAAAAGCTTCAACATTTATAGCATGTTTGGCACATGGAAAAATATTTTCTAGAAAGAAAATGGGAGATGTGCCTAGAAAGAAAATGAGATTAGCACATTTCTCATTTCTCTTCTAGCAAACACTATTCTATCTACTTCTTCTATTAAAAAATATAATACATTTTTAACCGAATCTCACCTCCCAATAAAGTAGTTACCTACTTTTAAACTAACTCTATCTTTTTATATTTATCCTTATCAAACATCTTATAATAAATAAAGTTATTCATCAATAGGGGCATTTTAAAAAAAAAGACAATCATTACATTTTAAAAGACTAAAAATGCTTTATATTTTTTAAGGGAGGGAGTATCAAACATTGCACAAGGGTGTATCTTTGTCATTGTGATTAAGTGGGAGAGAAGACAAAGATACTTGTCCATGGTTTCTCAAGGGGACTGCCAAGTTATATTTGCTCCAAAAAAAAAAAAAGCAGTTTGGAAGCATATTTTTTAATTTAAATACTTGTGTGCCAGTCTTTCGTTGGTGAGATTGTTTTAGGAAGAATGTCATATTCTCCTCTTAGGACAGTGATGTCAACTAAACTAAATCCATTCGTAAACCAGTGAGCAAAGTATGTGTAGGACAAATGAGTTTTCCAATAAAACTTGCTATTCAATAGATAAGTAATAGTCATAAATATCATATCGACAAAGTTTGACATCAATACAGCATTATTTAGTTTCCAGGAAGGGAAACTATAAACTATTTGATCACAAATTTATTGTTTTCCAATTCTTCTAGAATTCGGCATGTAAGACCAAGGCGATAATTAACCCTAATTCAATGACTGGATCAAAGAAAATTAGTTCCAATTGGCCAAATATTTACATGTGTAAATTCTTGAGTTCTAACAATAGTGTCAACTGATCCCTAGATCCACATAAAATACACTACATCTCTAAACTCATGTAATGCACATTCTACCACTCTTACCAATGAAAATGCCTAAATATGCCCTTTGTATGCAGTATGATTAGAATTCCCCCTCCTAGAAGCTAATCAAGGATGTACTTTTAAGTGTTCGTTGACACCTCTCATAAATAAAGTCAATTGAGGTCATGGCAAGTAAATTGTAATCAAGTGGTTTCTCCATGAAAAAAATATTTTTATTAATCATTATGGAAGTTATGTGTACAATATCTGATCATCATGAAACTGATTGTAAATGACAAATTTGCAATAAGACAGTATAACTCAAACTCAACCAAAATTTGTTCCTAACGGTACAGTGCACAAAGGGTTACCACTGAAGAAGATTTCATACACCCAGCAGTTCTTTTGTCAACAGCTGATGACACAACATAAAACCAAGAACATCAAACCTTACGAGCTAGTGTCCGCTGCTTTGTTCCATGTTGTACTATTTTTTCCTCCACATGAAGGCCCTTACGGCGTCTGACTGCATCAATTAACTTTCTTGCTGTATTAGGAAGCACACTAGAGCCATCTCCAAACTCTTCAATCTCCTCTTCAGTTTTAGGTACGAAGAAAGGATCCTCAGAAAGTGCTTCCCAGTGACTAAGTACAAGAAGTGCACTAGCAGCTCCAGAAGTCCACCTCCTAAGCTCATCAGCAAAACCAAAACTTTCGGAAACAGGCACATATGCGTGCACAGTGAAGAGAGGGGAACTTTCCTGCATCTCTTCCTTTAAAACTCGGGCCCGTCTTCGAGCAAGTACAGCATACGTGGGACCCAAATATTCAGTAGGGGTATTCAACTCACAAAAGTACATGGCTTCCACAAGCCGTGGCCTATTCTGAAGCACAGCTGCTCTACAAGCATCTTTGACAGTTGTGATTATTTGCCCTGCAAAGATGCCATACTGCTCAGATTGTTGGTGTGTTTCAGTTTCATCATGCTGCCCTGAATAGGGATAAATGTATGCCTCAATAACAAACGCCAAACCCCACATAGGTTCATCACATAAGGGTCCAGCTGCAGTGGCCAGTTGGAACCCAGATATGACACTGCTCTCAAGACGCTTAGCCTCCATGTTTAATGCTTCATTCACGTTAGAGGGTGTCCCGGCCTCTATATTTGAAGTACTAGAATCATCAGTAAAACCCAATCTTTCAGATACATGACAATCACCACGTATTAGAATAGAGCTATCTGTACTCTCAGCTTTGACATCAGGAGTAAAGAGAATGTTCGGACCAATTTGCCTAGGTCCAAGTGCCCATATCCTTCTCAAAAGTTTTAACCACTTTGCCTTACATTTGACAGCATAATCCTTGTCATTCCCATTCCCGCTCAAAATCTCACTTTCCAATGCATCCATTATGCGTTTTTTTAGCACTTCAGTTGGATTATCATTTTCAAAAATACCTGATCTCTGAGCCTCCAAATTTTTAACATTATGCCCAGACTTTACTCCAATGGCATCCCCCAATACATCAGAACTATCATCAAGTACCTTTGTTAGAGAAGATGGAAGTTTCATCACATGCACACGTACAACACATCTTCCATTTGGTGTCGTTTTTTCAACATAATCTGAGATCTTACTAAGAGCTTTCAAATTTTCAAGCATGCTGGACACTTCTCCTTCAATGGTCTCTTTGTAAGACACAAGAGGTGGAGAGACTTCCAAGCTTACCTTAGCAAATCTTTCCTTTAAATCTTTTACACATCTTTCAAGATGAACCTCTCCTGCTGCAGCTAAGACATGTTCTCCTCTTGCAGATACAGTGACCTCAACAAATGGGTCCGCTCTATTTAGAAGCCTCAAGCCTTTCAATAGTGCACTCATTTCTGCAGGGTCAGATGGTTCAATTGCAACTCTCAAAGTTGGGGAAACCTGGAAAGCCATACTAGAGAAAGGCCAGCAATTCTTGCTGGATGAGAGTGTAGCACTCTTCAGGATATGTTGGCCAAGGCCTCGGATAGCAACAATATTTCCTGCTTTAGCAGATGTCACGACTTTCAAGCCTTGGCCCATCATTAGATATAAAGAATGTAATTCAGCCTCTTGAACATGCTTTTGCATTTGTTCCCCTTTTAGAGGATCATACAATGCTGAAAGCACAAAAACTTTCTGTCCTGCAGACAAAGTTCCACTAAATATCCTAGCAAATGCCAGGAAACACTCATCTGATTCACCCTCTCCATCACCAGAATAGTTCATGAGCTCCCCATGCGAACCCCTATCAGGAAGCATTTTAACTGGCACAGCAAACATTTTTGACACAAAAGCAACACATGGAGCTTCAGGTTTCAAATCACATGCCTCTACAGATTTTCTCACAAGCTCTGCCTCTGCAAGCACATTCTGATCAACTCCTTTATCAAGAACCTCTCTCTTTGGAAGAAGGCGTGATATACGAAATGATTGTGCAGATACTGGATCTGGCATACACTTCACCACCATTGATAAGATTGTATCTGACAGAGGAAGCCACCGACTCATAACAGCTTGAAGCACAACTTTTGGGTCTTTATTTTGCAATTCACGAGATGATATAGACAAATTAAATGACTTAATGACTTTTTCAAGCATTGCTTTGTCACCATTGCCCTCTAGAGCTCCTTGGTATACCTGCCATAGTGGTTCAAGAACAAACTGGACAAACATTGGCCTTGCCTTACTTCCTCCACCTATACCTTTCTTACCAACAATCATTTTAGTTTTTGAATTGAAATACTTAGGACCCCATAAGGCTTTTTGCAATGCAGCAGCACTAGCCCCCAATTTTGAAGCATAAAATTCAGCAAATTCATGAATTCCAAATCCCCAACCATCCAGTGCACACACAAATGCCACATTCCCTTTCTGTGGTTGAAACATATCTTCTTCATCATCCTCTATGAGGTCACTGTTTTCATCAACAGTCACATCGCCTGAAGGTCCTGCAAGTATGGAATCTACATCTGACAAATACTTCTCAGACTTATATGTACTGACTATCCCATTGACCTCATGCACAATCCGTAATAACCGAATATAGGCTTCCATAGGACTCAACTTCAATTCACTAATCAACCTATCAATCTTGTTAAGAACCAAGCACGGTGAGAGCTTCTCAATCCAACATTGCCGCAACACAGCATGGGTTTGAATATGCACACCTTCAACAGCATCGACCAAAATTAATGCACCATCACTCAATCTAGCAGCAGTGGACACCTCACAGCAAAAGTCCATATGACCAGGGGAATCTATGAGGTTAATAGAGTAGTCTTTATACTTAAGAGCAATAGAAGAGCTCTTCATGGTGATGGCTCTCCTTTGCTCCTCGTCAAGATAGTCCATGAACCTAACTCGTCCAGCCAACTTCGGGTGAAGTAGGCTACCCCCTGAAGCAGCAATCAAATGATCAGCCAGTGTAGTCTTTCCATGATCAACATGTGCCAAAATACATATATTTCTGATTTTCTGGGTATCAAAATCATCCTCCATTTTCCCCAACTTTTGTGTTCAAGCCTGTCATTGAAAGTACAAATATAAATAGAAAGATGAATAAACAGAAAAAGATATGTCCAAATATACACTTACAATCTGTGTTAAAACAGAACGAGACACAGGAAAGAAATAAACTTGTGTTCAATGAGCCTCAAGTGTCTAAAGTCTAAACCCCCTGTTGTATGAATTTTTCTAACCATTTCGCACCATTATGTAACTTAAACAGTATGTTTCGGCTGTAATAGTTTTGAGCTTGTTGATTCCATTGACAGTGTTCCTTCCCCAAGTCTAATCTTTTGTGGTCAATTAAACCAATTTATTTAATCTTTTATGGTCAAATATCAGATATTCCTCCTTTCCAAGTCTAACACATAATCACAATGAACCTGGTAAAATACATAACCGCTTGAAATCATACCTTCATGCTTGTCATCAAATATTATCAAAAAGCACACCCTGAACCCAAGTCATAGCAACAATTATTTATTACTAAAAAATAATAAAAAGCAGTAGAATAGAAGATGAGACAGCGCATAGTAAATTCCCAGCTCTAGCAAAGCTTTAACTTTCAGATAGGCAAAGGAAGTGAAGAACAAGGAAGATTTCATAAGTATTTAAGATTACAAAAGTCTCTTACCCTCTTCAATGTTGGAATGGACAGGAAGTCACACTAGATGGAGAGGGATATAGTTTTCTTTGAGAGAGGATCTTCAGGCTTCAAAATGGTGAAAAGCGCCTCTGGTACAAGAATAAAAAGGCATCAAAAAAGGAGGCAAGAAAATACAATGTGAATGATTCATAGCTCTTATGAGTTGGGCATCAACCTGAAACATGACTGGACATCCTGTGGGTTCAGAATTTGAACCCAAGGCCCCATCCAACCAGGGATAACCCAGCACATGATCAGGCTGGGTTATCGACCATGGTTGGGCCAGTTTCTGTCCAACAGAAAAATGATAAGAAACAAAATGGAGAACCAGAATCAAAGGGGAAAAAAATTCAACAACCAATCAACCAAATCTCAGAATGAAAGCATAGGCAAGGAAGCTGCTGGACTAGGAATTTCCATATTATAGCTTGACATTAGTATTCAAAATATGCTACAGAAAAGGGGGGGAAAAAGACAAACAAGGCAGCCTATTACAATTAAGAGATCAAACTCAGAATCATTGAGAAAAAATTCGGAACAAATCCTCTCCATTCAGCCTTTGAATGGAGAGGGTGCATCCAACATAATGGATAACCATTTATGTCATCCTATGTTTCAGATTTTGCAAAGCATGCATCTCACTAAAAAAAAAAAAAGGAATTTAGAACGTTGTGCTTTTCGGACAGATTTTAAATCCAGTTTCTGTTCTGTTTCCCACCAAATATAATCGTTAGGCTGCAATCCTAAAAACAAGTAAAATAAAAACCTATGCTATTTTATTGCAGAAATTAACAGTTAACCAGGATTGAGAGGTGAGCTTTGTGTGTGTGTGTGTGTGTGGATGAAAGATATTTCTGATTTATTCTTCCACTCGCAGGTTTGATTTTTCAATGACACTTGAAGGTTTGATACTTCAATGACACATGCAGGTTTGATTTTTCACGCACATTCAAGATGAGAGAAAAATGAGAACACATACAATCTCGGAGATGACAGGAATAAGAAGAACGCTACATTTAGGGTGCTGAGACTAAATAATGCTCAACTGAAACTAAATTCAAAGTTACAGCTCTCAATCCACAGTTCTGAAACTATAAATCAATGAAGCATAAAAGAAGCACCTGGCTACGTGCGTAGGGTTTGAACAGCACTTGAATAAAACCCCTTGGAAGATGCTGAAATAATCGATCCCCCCTGGTAGTTGCTCCGTTGCGGATGGAACCTTGCCAGCGCAAGACGACTTCACCTAAGAAGCCTTCCTTGCTGTCTGTGTCAATGGCGACAACGGGGAGAAAGACAGTGGCGCCAATTCGATCATGGGACGGGAAGGAGGACTTTTTTGTTTCTTTGGGTTTGAAAGGCGGTTTTAGCTCTCTCCTTGTTTTTTTTTTTTTTCCTCTCAAACGAGGCTGAATGCAAACAACAATTCAGACGCAGGCGCCACAGCTCCGAATTAAATTTTACCGCACTGACCAAATCCATCTATACATATTAAAAAAAATTATTTGTCTACTTGTTATTTATTATTATTCTCTTCTATTCAAGTTGTAAGAGAGTTTTTTACAACTAAACTTGATTAAAATGTAGGACATTACTAAAATCATTTTTTTAAGAAATTTATGTTTGTATTAATTAACGTGTGTTTGAAAAATATAATTTGATTAAACATATTTTATATACTCTTTATAATAAAGAGGTTGAGGACAATAAAAAAGGAGAAGCATGCTATTATTTTCATGAAGGTAAAAAAATTTTTTTTTTACTAATATGTGAAATATGGTTAGAAATGTTCTGCAAAAATCTAAACCAGAGGAAGATAAGAATCAAACTTACGTGAACTTGCTTAAATCTATTAAATCAACTTTATTCCTCTGGTGGATTTCGTTTGCACACAGAACACGTAATGGCTTCTTTTTTTCGGTGATCACGTAATAGCTTATTTTGAGAGAGTGTGTGTGTGCGTGTAATAATCTTTTTAATCATTTCGGCTACAGTCTTTTTAATTTTCAGGTATAGTTATTATCATCTATCCATCTGATTTCATTACAGTCACAGATGTCGTGATTTTGAATGAAGCTGTCCTCGACAGGCTAAACCAAATATCCAGTTTGTAACTCTCACGAGGCTGGGTAATTTGAACAATAAAGTATCAAGCCCAAAATAGATGAAGAAAATAAAGAAAGTTTTTGAGTTTTGGTTCTACAAGTTAGGGCCCCCAAAAAAAAAAATAAAAAAGAAAGAAAGTGAAGCTGTTCTTAGGGGCCCCAAGTTAGTTCTTCCAATTCACGAACGAAAAAAGTCATTCTGAGTTGAAACAAATTCTTGCCCATGAGGAATTGGAACATGACGTTACTATGCAATATGCCCCTAAATTTCCTGTAATTCCAATGAAGCAGAGCTTTTATAATAACGTTGATTTTCTGTCATTTTCATCTCTCCGTTCATCAATGGAGGGACATCCTCGTAATGATTCAAAGTAATCTTCAGACGTCTGTTCAATAAAAAGGCCAAATTTTTTTTTAGATAAGCGTTGTCTTTTCAACACATTTTCCAATTAATGGTGTTAAAAGCTAACAAGGATTCGAGGAGTTAAGAAGCTACATCACTATAGCATGTCAGAAAACCCGAAGAGAAAGGCCAAAATAGATGGATTTTATAGCCTAGCTGGCCTGCACATGATGCCAATTTAAGCTAAAGTTTTTGTACTATGATAATCAAAGCTGACGATGCTTCTTATATTTATGATCTGATAAACATATATTTTACTATGCGCAGAAGGACACCAAAAAAATATTCAAAATGACACACGAACACATCACTTTCTGATTTCTTGTGTTTGCCAATTGTCAGGCATACACCTTTTATATGTGTGTGGGTATATATATTTCGTCACACACTTTACATGTAAGTGCTGCCACCTTATCTCCCTTGCAAGTTGGAGACCTTGTGTGTAATTATTATTTAAAATTTCCTCCTTTTTAAGTTTTGACCTTGTTTCTGCCATGTGAAACAAATATTCATGAAGGACATTTGCATCGTTGTTTAGGCTTTTAGCTTTATATATAACAGACGATAAAAGAGATTTAACACTGCCAAGTTACATGGAATTTGCAGGTTGAGTATGCAACCACTTTGCAGATCAAAATAGAGAAGCTTGAAAGGATGGCAGAAATGGAACTGAATGAAAAATACACGCCAAAGAGGTATAATCATAAAGGTGCTTTGGAATTGTTTGTATCAATACAACCGATATAACATCAGTAAGAAGTTGTAACTTTGAGAATTTGATGAGTATGGCAGTGACAGATATGCAGTAGTGACAGGAGCAAACAAAGGCATAAGTCTGGAAATTGCAAGGCAACTGGCATCAGTAGGGGTCATCGTTGTATTAACAGCAAGAAATGAGGCAAAGGGCAAAGAAGCCATTTCCAAGCTTCACCATAATTATGGCCTCTCCAATGTGGTGTTCCATCAGCTTGATGTCTTGGACCTTCTCAGCATTCACTCTTTGGCTCACTTCATCAGACACAAAATTTAGCCGGCTTGATATCATGGTAACTCACCAATCATGATTTCATAACCACACATGTTTTTTCTTGCATTGCACTGTACAGAGTCTGAAAACTGGATCACACAGTCCATAGTTTTGAAATGGTAAGTATTATTAGTTTGATGCATCAAATGACTGATGGCTTGATTTCTGCAGGTGAATAATGCAGGAGCATCTTGTGTTGAAATTGACGAGCAGGCTCTGGAAGCCTTGAATGTGGATCCTGAAAGTTGGGTTAAGAACAGAATTCTGCAGATTACAGGGAGAGAGTAAAAAAGTTGTGAGATTTGTGACTTGTGGATGCAGCTTTCAGGCTAGTGTTTGGGCTTATTTGATGGAGTTATAAGACAAACTAGCGAGAAAGCGGAAGAATATTTGAACACAAATTACTGTGGTGTTAAAAGAGTGACCGAAGCTCTACTGCCTCTGCTTCAACTATCCACTTCAAAGCCAAAGATAGTAAATCTCTCCTCTCTCAGAGGTGAGCTAAAGGCACGTACAAAGCCAAAGTTCATGAGCAAGAACAATGATCAACGATCTCAAAGCCAAATAGAAGATCTTGATACTTTTTATTGATCACACATAACCCTAGTTCTTTATAATAGATTGTTGGACTTTATATGCCTACAAAATCAAAGCATAACATGAATGTAAAATCTAATTAACGTATTAGATAGGGACCTAGTGTATGTGATAAGAAACCAAGATAGAGTTGTGTATATCTGATTTCGTCATTGTCAAGCTAGTCAACTTGGTCTTCTTCTCTATATCCTTTTAGAGACATGCGGCATTTAGCTAGAGTTAGAGAGGGGAGCTAGCCTATTTAATAACCTTTACTGGGCCCACCCATTACTGGCTTTAGTAAAGTTATTGGCCCACACTTTAACCTCTAACCAGACTATATGATCACATAACATAAGTAGGCTTTAATATTGTAGGGACCACCAGTTAACCTGATTGAATATCAATAAAATAATTAATGTGAGCTTACACATAAATTTCCAATAACAAATACATAGAAATCAAAATCTCATGAAACGTGCTGTGGACTTATCATATCACACAGGATTCCAAATGAGCAAATAAGAAGTGAGCTTGAAAATGTGGAGGCATTGGCCGAAGAGAATATAGACAGCGTAGTGCAGAGATTTATTCATGATTTGAGAGAGAATGCACTTGAAGCTAATGGATGGACCATGATGCTTCCAGCATACAGTATATCCAAGGCTTGCTTGAATGCCTATACTAGACTTCTTGCGAAGGAGAACACTAATATGCTCATCAACTGTGTTCATCCTGGGTTTGTAAGAACTGATCTGAACATGAATAGAGGGACCATGTCTGTTGAAGATGGGGCCAAAGGCCCTGTCACTCTTTGGCTCTTACCAGATGAAGGTCCCACGGGCTGCTATTTTGATTCTACTCAATTGGCAGAGTTTTAAATTGGAGGTGTTTGTCTGTTTTTATCTTTAAAGTTGACATGTGAGACCACATTTTCTCAAATTTTACTCCAGTAATGAACCAGTCCTCTCACACAAGTAACAACTAACATGATAAAACCAACCATTGCATAATTTTAACTAATCTATCTGAGCTGAGTTAATGAGACCATTTATTAGAGTCTTTTCTCCTTCAATCTTATTTTTAGATTAGAGGGACTTCAAAGTAAATTCAGAATACTTTAATCATTTTCACAATTAATGTGCTCCAACGGTCTTTCAATGCGATTTTTCTTGGGAAAAAATCACCCTTGTTACAAATGAATAATAGTAAGTGTGATTTCCCCCCCAAAGTGCTAAAATCTGGAATACTATTTTGCCCAAGTTATTAGTTGCAGTAAATGAATGTGCATACACAAATTTAGAGATTATAAATAATTTTGTGAAAATGATGTTAGTGGAGCTGTGACTCTACACTCTACTAAACCTAATCAAGACTACGTTTTTAAAAATGTTGTGAATTGCTCAAATAATTTAATGTTATATTTAAATGTATTAGAATTTAAATTTGAACGAAATTTCATTTGAATATATAAAAACCTATGAATTTAAACTTGATCCAAATTTAAATTCATGTTTTGTTATAACTTCTTTATAATTTTAAATTTCTTTTACATCTTAGTCATTTGAAATTTTAGCTTTTCCAATCCTCTCATTTATTCACATTTTTGCTATTAGTGCATCTATTGGTTTTGCCTCTCCTCTCATCTATCGTTCTCTCATCTTTCACTAATTGAAGAAGAATAGAAATAAATTCATCATTCTCAATTTTTCAATTTGCTTTGAATGTCAACTCCTCTCTACATGGATTTTAAATATAAGATTTTAAATCTATCAATCCAAATGCCACCTAAGTTTTAAAAGCAAAAGATCCATTTCTCAAAAATTCAAAATGAGAACGTGAAGTTTGACGATCCATGACATTTGAAAAGGAAGAAAAGGAAAGAGAGATGAGGCGAAGTTGATTCAACTTGAGTAGTCTCACAGCATGGCTTACATAATGTCACAAAGTCACACAAGTATGATATCAGTCAAAACCTTCTCCGTAACAAAAAATCCTCTGCCGCCTAATTAAAAATGAGAAAAAATATTAATATAAATGATCCAGACAGTTCTTTCTCAGGGAAACAAATTATGCAAATCTATAATATCTGCAAGGACGCCTGCTGCAGTAGTGTCATTGCCTGCTCCAGCACCTTGAATAACCAGTGGTTGCTCCTTATAGCATCGACTGTATATTTCCAGCTACCATTTGCATTTGGAAAAAAAAAAAAAACACTCAATGAACCAACCACGTCCGGATCAAAACGGAGCAAACGACATGAGTCTGAAAAAGCAGAAATTTTTGGAAAATAACTCCTAGGAAACGAAGATTGATGTCTTTGAACTATATTTATGGGAAAATCACTCTAAAATCTCAAACGATTATTCTAAATACAAAAAGTATCATGAAATCACAAAATTACTCTGAAATACCATTTCTTTTACTGAAGTTGTCAATCACTATTGAATGGTTGTTAATTATTGCTACTTAATTGTCAACTGAAAAACTCCATTAACAACTATCTAGTAAAAATTGATAATTTCAATATAGCAAATTAACAACTTCGGTGAAGAACATGGGACTTCAAAGTAATTTTCCAATTTCATGGGACTGTTCTATATTTAGATTTCTTAACCAGGACCTTAGAAAAACAGTCTAGATTGATATTCCTAAAACAGCACAGCACAGAACTTTCCAATGTTTCATCCATGAGATATCTGACAACGGTTGAGTTTGAATGATGTATTTGAAAGAGTGAGCATATTTAATTTGCAGTCCCAAATTTAAGATATAGCCTCCTTCCTCATTCCTGCCAGGGCATTAAAATGGGCATAATCTGCTAGCAACTAGCGAGTGACAACAGCAATAAAAAAAAAAAGAGGCTTACTATATTGTCACTTCCTCTCAGTCTTCCTAGAGCAGAATTCTTCGGAATCTCAAGAATGCCAACTTCACACCTGTATAGAAGAAACAAAGTTCGCACTAACTAAAGCAGAAAGCAAGGATTAAAAAACCCAAATTAAATTAGAGAACACAAAGATATGTGCAAGGATATACTCAATTTACCACTTCTTGGTAGGACATACAAGTATGAAGGAAGAAAGGAGAGGGTGAAATAACAAGGAAAAATAACCTGGGTCCCTCAATCACACACACATAGCGCAACACTTTCTCATTAGAAGCTGCCTTCATAACTCTCTCTTGCATATATCCATCCATACGTGATATGCCATGGTCCAGAAAGTCTTCAACACTCATCACATCGGGTCCCAGTTCTTTAGGATACAAGCTCTCAATCTGTATAGAAACCATTAGGAGTTTTTTGGTATATCAGAAGAGATTAAACCCTAGACCTTTAACCTATACCTCATCAAACCCTTACCACCTGACCTAACCTCAGGTGGTTAATGGAAATAAAGTTAGTAATTGTACAAGAAAATATGAAAACAAGTAGACTGATAAATTAAAAATAATGACAATGAAAGGAGAGGAGAACTTAAAATATAAACATTATCACACCAACCTTAATGTCATCTAGATTAATCTGCTTCCCAAGAATTCTAGCAAGAATTAAAGCCTGTTTCAATATTTATCCCAGGAAGACAAAAGAGTCAGTATGACCTAAAAGTGTATATACTTCACTAATCATAATATAAGATCTCACAACTTTAACATATTACAAAATAAGAGGTCCAAAATTTTTCTACAGGGACTTCAACTTAATAGTAGTAAATAACTGTGTAACAAAACTCCATTAGGCTGACCCCTGAATGAATTTCATTCTCTTTTCCCATTAAAATTATTTTTTTCCTGCAAAAGAAATAGGAGATAAATGGAGGGAAAAACCCACATGCAATTTCTTATATCATAGCAGTCAGGTTTCCAAATTAAAACACAGCAATTTAATGTTTATCCAATAACAATATGAGAGGTATTTTTTTTCAAACAAGTAAATTATTCTCTAATTAAACTATGCATTAGTCTTGTTTTAATAGGCAAATCATTCACTTACATGCTTATTTATAAACCTAATAACAAGGATATAAGAAACTGCGTCTAAGCCTAATCCATAAATAAAATAAAAAAATGGGCATCACCGATGTTTCTTCTTCAATGCAGTAGCCACGATCAAAACCTAATAGATATTAAAAAGTTTCATGCTGATTGGGAAACATTCTAGGCTATTAAAAAGAAGAAAACCTTTCTAGCAACATCCATTCCAGATAGATCATCACGAGGATCTGCAACAAATTGTCATATACAATTAACAATCATACTATAAGACGCTTATAAGTAAATCATCAAGTGTACAGAAAGTATGAGAATGAGAGCATGTGAATCTGAATGAAAGTCGGCAAAAATAACAAGACTAGTCTTGTCAATTCAAGACCAAAGAATCAATTTAATAACGATGATACACTCATTCAATTTAAATATATTAAACACTCCAATATAAAAAATGTATGAAGAAAAACAACATTGTCGAACTCATTACATAACATAATCATTTGAGATTATTTATATAATCTCATTGAATGCCATTTCCATACTCTGCCACAGGTACATATCAAAATTGAAACAAAATAGTTAGGATAACATGATAAATTTTATTGATCATGGCACAGAAAACCAATATATGCACTAAAGTAACAATGTTCCCGGAGCAACTTAAAACAATAGCTCAAATTTGAACATAACTTTCATATGTCAAGTGCAATCATTTGATGTCAAATTCAACAAAGTTCTGTACCTGGTTCAGTGTAACCTAGAGTTTTAGCATCTCTAACAACTTTGCTCAATGGCTTCCCATCTTCAACCTCACTCATCACATACCCCAATGTGCCTAAATAGAACATACATCATAATTACAAACAACTACATGAACAACAAAAATATTTAGGTTATGTAACACACAGATTCCAGCAATAAGCCAAACCACATGATTTACAACATATAATGAAAGGCATTGTATAATGAAACCAATAAGGGTCAAGGAAAGGGTATAATACCACTTAAACTCCCAACAATGCGATGTATAAGATCTCCAGAAGAGATAATGCGATTGAGGGATACTATTACAGGGAGTCCAGCACCAACCTTTAAAGGAAATGAAACTGAATTAATATAAGCCAGCTGTATCATAATTCTTTTGACTAGCTAGAGAATAAAGTTAAAAAATCAGTACATGTAATTGCCTACAAATTTATAAAAAAAAAAAACAAGAACAAAAATATTAGAGAGACATTTAACCCTCACAATCTAGTGCACGCGTGCACCCACACACACTCCATTCTTGGAAATTGATAAAGCACCATTATGGTAGAGAGTTGCAGACAAAAGTTGATAGAGACAGAGAATTAAATTGAGGAATAATAACTAAAACAAAGTATTAATATTTATAATTGAAATGGAGAAAAATAATTCCAAGCCAATTACCAAATTCATAAAGTAGAAATATCATACAATATGAGACAAAGAATTTGGTCAATTCCTCATTTCACAATCCATCTTATACAATTAATCAGTGTTTTGTTTACAAGAATGACCAAAACATCCAATGCTTAATTCTGTGAGTATAGAAATGCCTATAGTTTTCAGGAACTATGATTAGCTAAAACCAATCCCCTTGAAGAACCATACCTAACTACCATGCCTCCATAATCAATATAGTCGAATGTTGCCTGCTCCTTTAAAATTAGCATTGGATCAAAGACCATGAGAATGGCAATTTCAAGAAAAAATATTTGGATAATCTGTGCATTACACGGATAAATGACTAGTTGTAAATAAATTCGGATAGTATTCAATAGAGGGGTTTGGTGAATATTGGTGTAGACAAGCTGGAGATCACAAAGTTATTCGGGAAAAAAGGAGGCTGGAGTTTCAAGTCACAAAGTGTCATAACTCAGAAAGGTTTGAATTCCAACCATTTTGATGTGATCCTATGTGGTAACACAATCGGCATCCAAAGTATCATCCTAGGTCACATCTAAGATGGAACCCTACATGACAATCAAGTCCTACATGGCAACATATGTGGAAACCATGTCTTAGGTGGCATGTTGTTATGTCATCAAGCCACCCAAAGTCATGTCATTCAAGTAGAGGAAAACCCAAGTAAAGATACTTATAATCAAGAGGCTATGATATGTGTTGAGAGCCCAAATCATTATATTAAAAGCCCAATACACAAGTATACTGAGGAGGCAAATTGGGTCATAGTCTTACATTAAACTCAAATGCATATTCTATGTCTTATTCTCCTTTTGAGGTGAAGGCTTCAATTGAACCTATAGATTGGGTTTGGGTGTATCTCAAGCCTAGGAGATTTCCAAATCTGAGAAAGACAAAGTTGCATCCAAAAGGTGATGAACCTTTTCAAGTGCTAGAACGAATTAATGACAATGCCTACAAGATAGACCTCCCGAGCTCCTATGGGAATGTGTCAGCTACATTTAACGTTGCAAAACTTTCTTTATTTGATACATGTAATTCGAGGATGAATCCTCTTCAGGAGGGAGGGAATGATAGGAATCAATGGACAAGTCAAAATCCAATATTTAGTACCTTTGATCCATTACAAGGCATTGGAAGACCAATGACTAGATCGAAAGCTAAGAGGATGAAAAAAGTCCTAAATTCATCAATTAGGGATAATTCTAAATGATCAAGAAGTCTTGAACACAAATAAAGTTCTAGAAGACCAAAGAAAGACTTTTAGCATATTAGGCCTTATCCAAAACACTCAGGACCATGAGTCCAATTAGTTTAGTTATTTTCTTCTTAAATTTAGAAAATTAGTCTATCTTATTTTTATTTTAAATTTAAGTTTAGGAAAATTAGTTTATCTTGTTTTAGTTTAAAAAAGAATATAATATATCCATCAAGGATATGATCTATCCATTTGAAATCCTAAATTAATTAGGATTGCGTCATTTAGGTTATTAGAAGTCTAGTTAAACAATTAAGTCATTTGTATTTTTTCAATTGTAAGGCTATTTTGATTAGTTTTGTTCTTCGTGAGATACCACACTGAGATTTCAGATTATTGTGAGCTATCGTTCGGTTGCCCTATATCACATTTTTTCCCTTGCAATCAACAAATAGCAACTAAAACTAAAGATTTTTCAAATCAATTACTCAGAGTATTTGGCCAAAAAAAAAATTACTCAGAGTATAGCATACAATAATAAACTGGAGTGTTATGGGTGTCATACAGAACTTGCAACATTAGCAAGTTGTAAGCACAAAAATAGTATAATGTATAAATTCATAAAAATCTTTGTAGTCTGATAGCAAAACAGCATTAAATATTATATCCAAGATTCTCTGCACAAAGTTTCAGAAACAGGATGATGAATCAAGCCAAAATTATAAAATAGGACCTAGTAGGTGGAAGATGATTCAGATTATTACAAGAAGATGCATAGCATACATCTAGACAGTGATTAACATCTATACTGGTCTAGTATGAAAACTTACAAGCATTTTACCCCCCTCCTGCAGGGGAAAGGACTCACAAGCATTTACGACAATTAAAAATCTTCATTTCTGACAAAAAATATAAAATATAAAAATGAAATAAAAAATTCATTCTTACGTTCCAAATCATTTAAAAGAATGTAAGTTATCTTCCTTCAGTCTTGGGATTTTACATTTTATCCATAAATTCATTGGATGTCTTTTTTCTCCTTTATAATTTAGTAAGGAAGACAGGAGAAGAACAAGCTCAATTTAATGGTAGCAGGTTATTAATTTTTTACAGAAGAGTTTCAACCAAATTGTATACCCTAAAGTCCTCCACCCCCACCAAAGAAGAACAATAAAACAACCAATTTTTTTCTTTTGGCCTTCAACTTTAGATATCTTACAGTAGTAATTTAGTGTTTGACTGAACCCTTTCAAGATGATAAAATAGAATAAGAGGAACAAATCTATTAAGAGGATATAGAACAAGAATCTTGTCTTATATTTCTCAATAGCCAAGTTTTAGGAGAATCTCCAAAGAGTTAAAAGAACTATTCTTTATTAATCATATGCTAACTTCTGAGTTGCTAGTCATATTTATAAAGGCAAATACAAATGAAATTTAGATAACTAGATAATGAAAGACTCGATAAAATCTAAAACTAAATCTAAATCTAAATCTAAATACAATCTAAATAAATGAATAAAATCTAAATCTAGATAAAGACTAAATATCTAAATGAATTCTCCTAAATTCAAATTAATATCTAAATAAAATCAACTAAATAATATTCAAATTTAAATTAATAAAATAACAAAATAATAAAATCAGATTTAATTTATCTTCTGTCGCTTTCTTCTCAAATAAGTCTTTAATGGAATCTTATCACAATTCCTTGCAAGTTCAGGATTCATACAAGACACCATTACTTATCAAACTACTTCAGAAAATAAGTGATCATAGTTAGGAAGCAAAAGAATAAACAAATAAAAAACTTCTAGCACCAAATTTGCAGATTATATTTCCAGTAAATTCTCAAATTACACTTCTTCAAAACTCCAATAGTCTCAAAAGTTTTAGTGAGAATGACATTTAACGCCCTCTCAAGAAAATTTGTTGCAATAAGAGCCCATCAATTTTGCATCAAATATTATCTTGTGAAAACACAACTTTTAACAATAACATATACGTGTTTTCACAAGACAATATCCGATGCAAAACCAATAAGTCCTTATTGTGATAAATTCCCTTGAAAGGGTTTTAAATGTCATTCTCCCAAAGTTTTAACCATATCATAAATGTAAAACATGTTACAGTGCTACTACACATATTGGGAATGAAATGAAGGCATACAAAATATTACTTACAGTTGATTCATGCCGAATTCGATGTGGGTATGCAAAAAGCTTTTCAAAATCCTCCTATTCCACATAGGAATCATTATTAGACAGGAAATACACAAGTTATGAACCCAAAGGAGAAAAAAAAGAAAGAAAAGAAAGAAAGAAACTAAGCTTTCAAGAACTTAAGCTATAAGCTTTCACTTGACCATATAAAAATTACCAAACCCTTGTATGTAATTTTGTGTGTTGGGCTGATAGATTTTGCAACGATGGCAACAAAAAATTAGCAGGATAAATAGGTTTTATTGACTTCTAGCATTATATATTACCATATCAACTTTATTGACTTCTAGCATGAAGAAAGATTGTATATCTCCATATCAATATCAACTTATAAGAATTTAAAATTATATTACCATTGTAGATGTAAGAGGTTTTTTATTTGCCAGAACTATACAACAACCCATATGAATGACTTCTTTTAGCATAATGACAGTGTCAGAACTGGCAGAGCAATCTACACAGACCAGACCTACATCAAATGATTCAAAAGCATTTTTATTAATGATTGAGAGCATAAGTATACTCTTATTTTGATATATCTTTGCATTAAGTCATTGGAAGAAATGAAATATTTAACAAACCTGTTGATTTTCCAAGTTGAGAGGCAATTTCCAAAATTTTTTCTTGTGATTCTAAATGCCCATATACCTGGCATTTATCTTTAAATATGAATCAGTAAATAAGCATAAAAAATATAGATGTAATCATACATGAACCATGTCAAGCAAATAGGCCTACCAAAATCTCCAAGTATTGATAGAGAGGAACCATTTTTCTTGACTTGACAAGCTTTCAATAAGAGGCTGTCATCCAAATCCTTGTGCAGCAAATCCCTTGTGACAACCAAACATTGGCTATCACAAATTCCCACAACTCTTAAGTAAAATCCCTGTCACAGAAGGTAAAATATAAAAATTGAATATTTTTTAACTTAAGCAACCCACTCAACTGTCACAACTATATCACTCAGAGCAAGCGTATGAAACAAAATCAGCGAATGCAAACAAATACAAATACCTTAAAAGAGTGAAGAGAACGGGTGTTGATAATGTGTTGGAGAAGATAACGCCCAACGCCTCCACAACCCATTAATATTAGAGGAATATTCTTCATTTGTGGTTGCTTTTCAAAGACTTTGGATCAAGCTATCAAAATTTTCGTCAATGCTGGTAGAGATCAGTACAGTAAGGATACTGAAAAGTTTGATAAAGATACCCTACAGTGGAGAAATCCAGAAGTGTCCTGAAAGTACAGAAATATTGGCCCTTTGATCTTATGAACATAACAGATCAACCCAAACCATTCTAGCCGCTCTAACATGGCTTAATCTGGATGGTTGACGGCTTAACAGCACAAATCAAAGTTGAAAACCACCATTTGACAGTTTCATTTCAGTGTGTTAATTCCCTAGCAATGGAAGTAGATGGAATGAATGGAAGGGAAATGGGCATCATCACGAGAAGAAGAATGTAGGTTAAATCTGGCTATTTTTAAACAAAATTTCAGTCTCCCTCAATTTTCTTCTTAGTTTACATTAGATATAGAGTATGAGAATATGGTTATTTATTAATTTATGACAGGAAAATATTGTGAAAAGATCGATTGTAAAAAGGTCCTGAGGTACCGAACTCTCCAATTTGGAGAGGGCAGGACAAAATAACTGAAGACAACCGTGCCCGAAAAAGATCATCATTGTTGAATTGCAAAGACCAAAGCCACTTCTCAAGCACCAGCGTTTCATCACTTTCACATAGGTTCGCCTCCAAATAACCAACAACTATAGTGCTTCATTAGTGCTACCAAACAATAAGAGATAGTAACAGGACTTAACTAATGTCTTCCATTCAGAATATCTTGCATAGTTCAGTTGGAAAAGGATAGACTGATCAAGTTATGTTTGCAAAACAACGCTTAAATTTACTATTTAAACAATTTACCAGATGGAGAAAAAAAGTGATACAATGGAGAAAATCAGATGCAAACAGCAGGACCACATTGGAAGGGATAGGGAAGACACTTCACCTCTGCCAACGGAGATGCAACCAGACGACGGAGCGACGGAGCCAGCCGACGACGACACAGCCAATGGAGGCGCGAAAGGAACTGCATAGGTGGGAAGGTATTCAGCCGTCATCTTCACCGTACAGCCTCCAACAGTCCAGATTAAGCCACGTGCTAGTTTAAGATTTACGGCTTCGACTGTACTTGACCCAATAATAATAAAATTAAGAAATAATTATATATAAATAAATATCAAATATAGAAATTAATTATATATAAACATCACAATATGGCATGTAAATGTTAGAGGTTGATATGCAAATAAAAAGACTGTAACATTATTAATATTTTTATTTGGGGCTTGTTTCTAACTCTCATTAAAATTAATAGATTTTTAATTTTATACATTGAAATATTATATGAAAAATTAAAATAATATTACTAGAAAATAAATTTCACAGCTAAATATTTAAACTAAATAACTTAATGTTCATCCACGATCACATGTTAAATTCAAATAATAATTATTACTAATTATATATTTATTCAATGAATACATAAATAAATTATTTATTTATTTACGTATAACAGTGATCTTTATATATTATTATAATATATGGAAAAAGAAATTTATTTTAAAAATGATATTGCATTTCACTAACAATAAAAGATTAAAATTTTTAAAAAAATTAACCCTTTAAACTAATAACTAAGTCGATTTTTCATTTTTACTAGATTTTAATTGGTCGTGTAAAACTTTGATGAACTGGCTCTAACACTGATTTTCCAGTTTTAACTAATTTAGTTCATTTTTATAAACCATTTATTTGCCTCCCGAGATTACAGAGCAGCATATATGGTGATTAAGAAAAATTTAGCCACATAAATGACATATATATGGCTATAAGAAAATTATGACATATAAATGATTATGTGCCGAATCAAATCAAAATAAAAATTCTTAAAAAGTTACTTGAAAGTAAACATTAACCAAAAAATTATCATCCAGAAAGGTTGAAGTCTGAAAGTTCAAACTGCCAAACCAAAAGGATTGAGCAAGTGCACAATGAGCAAAGAGCCAATATTACTTTCTTGATCATATTTGTTGTTGGCCTTCTTTCTTTGCGTCATTTCCTCTTCATCAAGTTCACAACTGGTTGTAAGTCCTCCTATTCTTGTTCTCAATTGTGATTTATGGACAATTTAACTCAAGAAATTTAAAAGGAAGAAAGCTTCACTACTTTATTCTGCCTCAATTCTTAATTTATTAATGGAAAGTTGATGATGAAACAGGTTCAAGATGCATCTCAGTTTTCTTTTCTTTCCTTGAGAGATGCTCTTTAGTGGATAAATTCCTTTTAGATTCATCTCTCACTATTTAATATTGCAGTTCAAATTAACTACATTCATAAAACCATGCTTTTCTTCAACAGCATTCTATAATAGCAATTTCAACACCATAGTCTTGAACATTAATCATATGCTTTATAAATTTCAACACCATCATTTTCAAGTCGTCCAATAAGATTTATTTTATTCTACACTTAGTTTCTCTCCTTGATTATTTTGTAATACTTTAATTAGTTTCATGACTTTTTCTTGAACATTATATTTATATTAAATTTTGACTTTATATAAAAAACTAATATATATATATATATAAATGTTTTAATTTTTATATATATTCATTTTTTAAAATAAATGTACCTCTATTTTTTAAGCTTTGCTGTTGTCTCATGGTATAGAGATAATCGACTATTATATTCATGTAAATTTTTTAACAATATCTTTTTTAACACAAACACATGATTATTAAATTTGTGAGAAATTATCTTTCACCATATCTTGAAAATCTGTTGTCGAAATTGGACCACATTATTGTCTCTTATATGCATCATGTGTAAGAAAAAAAAATTATAGTTTTTGAAGAAATTGAAAGAAGAATAGAATGAAAATAAGTACAGAAAATAATGTTTGACTTGCATGAAAATAGAGTCATTCATTCCTGCCTTGCACAACTAGTGGAGGATGCCGTCAATTAAACATTTAGGAACAGACTTTTTCACATAGTCAAAGAATCACAAATCCTAAGGAGTCCTCCGTCAGCTGATTACGTTCGAGTTGATGTAGACGCTTCAGTTCAGCAAAATCAGCACGCCACGTGTGAAGGAGAGATCAGGAATTCACAAAGAGAATGGATTAAAGGATTCCAGAAGGATCTTGGGTTGATGAACTTTGCTGCGACAAAGCTTCATGCAGTAAGGACGGGTTTAGAAGTCTGTAAGTTGCTTGGATTCTCCAAAGTTTAGTTATTCTCTGATTATCTTGAAGCCACCAACATTTTAATGTGCGATATTGGAGGATACTATAATATTATGTTTTCTGATTGGGAGGTTGTGATCCACCATGCGTACTGAGAAAGCACCAGTGTTATAGATTATATGGCGCCAAAGAATGCTATTAGAATAGGCGAACACTTGCTGACTGTGCATGAGCTCCCTGATACTTGTTGCTCAAAGATTGGACTTGTAGTTGTCCAGTGTGTCTCTTCCCTATGTTTATTTAATTTTCATTCTACAATTCTGTTTTAACTCTTCTCAAATTTCATGCTTATACCTTATGTATTTTTTTAAAAAAAAAGGGAAACGAAGGTTGCAATTTTGTGTGACTCAGCATTTCGGCTAAAATAGGTGTAAACACACACATGTACATGTACAAATGAGAATTATGCCAAATTTTTCATTACAAATTTTAGGAATATCCAACAAAATATATTAACTTCATTAAAAAAATAATGGAGTATTCATAAACGAATTATGTGTATAAACTTAAAAAACCTAACATTTCAGTCTTTACGAAAAAAAGATTATTTGCTTATAGACAATATGCTAGTTTTTTCATAACAAACAAATAAAGATAAGACAGCATGCCAGCCTGTTTTTGTTTTTTTAACCAACAAAGATAGCTTGTATATTAATATATATTATTAGATATTAAATCCCGAAAATAAAAGTTTCAAATTCAAATAAATTAAAAAGAAACCATAACTTTGCTATGAAGCATGAAAGCAAAATGTGACGCACATTGTGCCAAGGAGCCCACAGTCTTAGGTCATGCACTTGAGAGATCCCACCACAAAACACACAAGATAAGCCAAGATCTGATTTTGATATATGTGAAAGCGGTTCTGCATAACTCAACTCCTGCCGTCCATTCAGATCTGACGGTGAATACCACGCGGGTGCACTTATGTCATATCGAATCTATGTGACGCGCACTCACACACACACTCTCTCTCTCTTCCGGCCCTCTCTCTCCTCTCCCTCGACTTCGCAATTGCCCGGAGTGGCCGAAACCCTAACTACCTCCTATAGCACCGTCGTTTTGCACCGAGTTTCACAGTTCGCGTTCGTTCCATGAGGTTCTGCTTTGTCCCCGTGGTTTGAACTTTTTTGGGGTTTCTCTACTCTGAAATTGGAAGACTTTGAAAATTGATTGTCACCGTCGGCTTGATGTGGATGTGGATTTTGGAATCACATTTAGCATTTATTGTGGTAAGTTGGCGTTTTCAATTTTACTTGATGGTTCCTTTTGTGCAATATTTTTGGTGAATGAGTTCCTTCAACGATTACTCTGTCCCGCGTTAACTTTATAGTAAAATTATTTTGGTATTTGCCATAATTAGTATGCATGTGGAGCGTTTTGTTGATTTTTATTGAATTTTCTTTTACTCAATGTTGTTCAATTCTCATCCAGATATCTGAATAAGTTGAATAATGATGCATATTTCTCATAGCATATTTAAAAATATGATTATTAAAAATCGTTAGTTGCAGCTGTGGTGTTTATACTATACTTTCATTGAAGTCTGAGTCAATTCTCGTAGTTAGCTTGCACGCTTCTTTCTGCCTATGTGAGTCAGCTTTAAATTGGTAATGTCTAATTAGAAATAACAATTCGGTATTACTCTACGTAGGCTTAATTATTAATTTTTTTTAGCTGGATAGGTACTATTTAGAGTATTTTTATTTTTTCGTGCCTAGTTGCATTTCATCACTGGGTGAACATGATTGCACGCTTGCCGAGAAGGATAATGTTCTTTCTGTGGAAAACATCTGTTCAGTACTTCAGGATATTTTTATTCTTAACATGATTGTTTAATCATGACTTCATTTGTAACACAGGCAACACAGTCAGCACAGACTTTTAATTTGTTAGGGATAAAGCATGCAGTTCATTGCTGATTACACTTACCCATGAGCTAGGTGCTGCATAACTTATTAGTAGAAAGTGTTTCAAATGGACGTTCAAGTAATAAATGTGGAAGAAGGGACTGGTCACCGAGCTATGACTGATGATGGGGATGCTGAACCTAGTGAAGGTGAAGTCAATAATGCTGAAAACTCAGGATCTCATGTTGAGGATGGAATTCCTGAGCCATTTGTTGGTATGGAATTTGATTCTGAAGATGCTGTGAGGACTTTCTACAATGAGTATGCCAAACGTGTGGGCTTCACCACTAAAGTTGGCCAGCATGGCCGTTCTAAAGTTGATGGGGCAATCATGTACAGGGAGTATGTATGTGGCAAGGAAGGTTTAAAAAGAAGGCTAGGTGACAGTTGTGATGCAATGATTAAAGTTGAGTTAAAGGGTCAAAATAAATGGGTCATAACAAAGTTTGTGAAGGAGCATAGCCATTCCATGGTGAATCCCAGTAAGGTGCACCACCTTCGGCCACGTAAGCATTTTTCTAGTGTTGGAAAGACCATGCCTGAAACTTACCAAGGAGTGGGACTTGTTCCAAGTGGTGTTATGTATGTATCTGTGGATGGGAATCGTGTTTCTAGTGAGATTCGTGAATCTAAGAACACTCCTTTTGAGCCAAGTCATGCAGTGAGGAATTCTACAATGATGAACAATACTGGTAGGCCTTCTATCAGAAAGAGGACATTAGGGAGAGATGCTCAGAACCTGCTGGAGTATTTTAAGAAAATGCAAGCTGAGAATCCTGGTTTCTTCTATGCTATACAACTTGATGAAGAAAATCATATGTCAAATGTATTTTGGGCCGATGCAAGATCAAGGACAGCATACAGTCATTTTGGCGATGCAGTGACCCTGGACACGACATACAAAGTGAATCAATACAGGGTTCCTTTTGTTCCTTTTACTGGGGTGAACCATCATGGTCAAATGATTTTGTTTGGTTGTGCACTTCTTTTGGATGATTCTGAGGCTTCTCTCTTGTGGCTCTTTAAGACATTTCTGACAGCAATGAATGACCGCCAACCTGTCTCTATAATTACAGATCAAAACAAAGCCACACAGACAGCAGTTTCTCAAGTTTTTCCTCAAACACGCCACTGTATAAGTAAATGGCATGTCTTGAGAGAAGGCCAAGAAAAGTTGGCACACGTTTGTCATAATCATCCAAACTTTCAGGTTGAACTTTATAATTGCATTAACCTAACAGAGACCATTGAGGAATTTGAGTCATCTTGGAGTTCTATCCTTGATAAATATGAGCTCAGAAGAAATGATTGGCTTCAGTCATTGTATGATGCTCGTGCTCGGTGGGTTCCAGCATATTTTCATGATTCATTTTTCGCTGCATTATCTCCAAGTAGAGGATTTGACAGTTCTTTTTTTGATGGTTATGTCAACCAGCAGACAACATTACCAATGTTCTTTAGGGAGTATGAAAGGGCTTTAGAGAACTGGTTTGAGAAGGAAGTAGAAGCAGATTTTGAAACTATTTGCACCACACCGGTTTTGAGGACACCTTCACCCATGGAAAAACAGGCTGCTAGTCTTTATACAAGAAAAATATTTTCTCTGTTTCAAGAAGAGCTAGTTGAAACATTTGTTTATACTGCCAATAGAATTGAAGGTGATGAGGTAAATAGCACATTCAGAGTTGCAAAATTTGAAGATGATCAAAAGGCATATGTTGTCACATTAAACCATTCAGAGTTGAGAGCTAACTGTAGTTGTCAAATGTTTGAGTATTCAGGCATTCTTTGCAGGCATGTCTTGACTGTTTTCACAGTGACCAATGTACTTACATTACCACCACATTACATCTTAAGACGGTGGACAAGAAATGCAAAAATTGGTGTTGGATCAGATGAACGTGCTGGCGAATTACATGGACAGGAGTCTCTAACATCAAGGTATAGCAATCTATGTAGGGAAGCAATCAGATATGCTGAGGAAGGGGCAGTAGCTGTGGAAACATATAATGCTGCTTTGAGTGTCCTTAAAGAAGGTGGGAAGAAGATTGCTGCTGTGAAGAAAGGTGTTGCCAAAGTTGCTCCTCCTAGCAATCAGACTGGTGGGATTGCTTATGATGACAAAAAAACTTCTACGTCAACTTCAGATACAACCCCTCTTCTATGGCCACAGCATGATGAAATAATGAGGAGGTTTAATCTTAACGATGCTGGTGCTCCTGTTCAATCAGTTGCTGATCTGAATTTGCCACGAATGGCTCCTGTGTCCCTTCAGCGAGATGATGGTCCATCTGACAACATGGTATGTAGAAAGGTATCATTTTTGTTTTTGTTTCTATTGTTTAATGTTTAATATATTATTTGGTTTCTAATAGGACTGCATGAAATTGATCTGTTCCTTATTGGTTCAATTAGGTGGTTCTCCCCTGTCTGAAGTCAATGACTTGGGTAATGGAGAACAAAAATTCAACTCCTGGGAATAGAGTAGCTGTTATCAATTTGAAGGTATGCTTATTGGAAAACTCAAACTCTAAAATGCTTGTATAAGTATTATTCATTTATTGCTCAAGAGTGAGTTAGTTGAGATACTAATGCTTTATATGCATGGGAAGTAACATTTTGATGTTGCCACTTGAAGGCATAGCCATATTAGGTTTAAATTTGCCTTTGTCCTTCAATTACATGCTCAAGCCAGTTAAGCGTTCAAGGTCTTTAACATATCTCAAATTTTACTGTTGTAGTTGCAAGATTACAGCAGGACTCCATCAGCAGAATCTGAGGTAAAGTTTCAGCTCTCAAGAGTTTCTTTGGAACCAATGTTGAGGTCTATGGCTTACATCAGTGAGCAGCTCTCAACACCAGTTAATAAGGTTGCTGTAATAAATCTCAAGGTATGCAATTCTTATAGGTTTTTTCATTCAAATCTGACCATCCATAAGCTATGTTGCTTTCTAGTTCTACCACTACAAAAGCTGAGCTTTGTGCTTCTTGGCACACTTCTAATTGGTAAATTTTTTGGAGCAATTAACTTCATAACAACTAGCATTAAGGGGTTTATGGGTGGTAAAAAGATATGCGCATGTTGATTTTCTCCTTATGAAGCTGGAATATGTCATTAAGAGCCCTTATGGTTGCTAAGGCTGGTCTGGTGAGAAGGATACTGATGTTAGTTATCATTTTTCAGAGCATCCCGATGTAATGAAGAATTTTGCCTTATAGGGTGACTCAAGGCTTCTTATGTCAGATAACTTCTGGTGCCTTTAGTAGGCTTTAAAAATTTTTGATGGGGTAATATACCTTGCAGGCGTACATAAGACTAACAGTTAGTATTAAACTTAATGCTCTATATAATAGATTTGTGCCGGTCTCGGTTCAAAATATAAACACAATTGGGAATAAACAGCGATTGGCAGCCCCTGGTATCTTCCAACCGAATGGGAAGTAGCATTCTGACTTAGAAGTCACGTTAGGAGGCAAATGGCTCCTACCTAGAGAAGGAATCATGTTCATTTTGCTTATTAGCCAGACTTAGCTGGACTGGAACTATTATTATTCAGTCCATGGTATTTCTATAGTTATATAGATTAGATGTGGGATTGTTAGGCCTTTATTCTTTTTGGGAACCTTACCTTGTGGAAATGGTGTCTGATACGTGCTCCATCAAAGAAAGGAAGGAGGGAAGAGCAAGCCACCTAAGTAAGGGTGGGGTAGGATATGGGTAGAGGTCAAAAGTTCAGACCCTATTGATGTAACTAAAAAAATGGAAGAGCATGATCAGAATCGTTGAAATCTTGCTGGCTATTATCTTTTTAGTTTTAACTGTAATAATAGGGTGAAAGTTTCTCTCAATCCTTTGTCTGTGCTTTGTCCAGTTTATAAATATTGAACCTAATAATTTAAATTGTTTCAGCTTCAAGATACTGAGACAACTTCTGGGGAATCTGAAGTAAAGTTTCAGGTGTCCAGGGACACATTGGGTGCCATGTTGCGATCGATGGCCTATATTCGTGAGCAACTTTCTCATGCTGTAAGCTTTCATGTTCCTGTTATTTATATGCATAGGGATGAACGAATTCTTTCTTTAAAAAGATTACACAAGTTCTTATATTAATAAAATCACTTATATAGCTCTTTACTATTTTCCATGTGTGCCATAAATCGTTTTTATTTATAAGCCTCACTCCTGGTGTGAAATATATAATGATACCTCGTGTGACAGAAAGCAGAGACAGGCAAGTATGAGCTGTACTTGTTTTCTCCTTGGTAATATCTTATATAAGATGGCTAGCAGAATGGAGTTTACTGCTGGCCCTGTTATTGGCTGTGATGGTTTCAGAATATTGATATCGGAAACGTAATTTAAGGAATGAATTAGGAGAGAGAATAATGAGATTCAAAATTAGGATATTATTTTGTGTGTTTAGAGGAAAGTGTTGATTAGAATAGGGACTTGGAGCTGGGACAGACAAGTTGGTCCAATAAAATGGTAAATACGGTTTCCTTTTGAGGTGCCAAATCTTTTTGTGATATTATGCCCTTTCGATTCAATCATAACTCAACACTTTCCTCCCTTGTCAGAAACACTACTTCTTTTGAATCAGTATGTACGTGTTAACCTTAGGCACTTAAAACTGTCTGTTCCCATATGCAATGCTTCTCCCCGCCATGAACTCTTGCTTGAAATAAGTGGGTTTTTGTTCCCATGACTGTTAGAGGACAGTAGTGGGTTTGCCGCGCCTAAAGACTTCTTAATAACCAACCAATCAACACACATGGGGGCATAATTAGTTTTCAAGAAGCGGATTTGCTAATCCTGTTAAGATTTCAGTTTATTGTGTTGGCAGGGGTTTTATGTTACAGTTAAGTTAGTACGTGGAAATCTACTTGGTATTATGTTTTAGTCTGACCTAAAATATATGCTTTCAAGATTCACGCTTCCTTTGCTAGTTCCTTTCTTGAAATAAAAATTTAATGTATGTCAAAATTGACAGGGAGACACGCAGTCAGAGCCTGTATTGAAAAGGCATCGAAAATAAGGCTGCGAAGTTTCTTTTCCATGCTCAGGTGGGTTTGTGAGTTCCTTGATGGCAGTGTAAGGTGCCCAGTCAATACATGAATGGCTTAGAAAATGTAGTGTTTATTTTAATTTGGATAGCCTTTTTTTTTTTCTTGAAAAAAAAAAGAAAAAAGAAAATTCTCTGCACAGAGTTGCCTAACATGTCTGTACATGTATTGTGTCGTAGGCAGCAAGTTTGTATTACATGGAATCAGTTGATATATCCCCACTCTATCCCCCTTCTCCTTTTCTACTAAATGAGTAGGAATTTGGGTTTCGTTTCACCCTTCTTAATCTTAAGCCTCTAGGCATCTTGCAGTGAGCGGGCTGTTTGGGTCCTCTCCATGGAAGGATTTTCCGTTGTATCTTGAGGTAGAAAAGAAATTTGAATAGGTAGATTTTAATGATCTTTTTTGAAAAAAAATCTGTTTAATATAATTTCTCAGTTTGCAGATGAAAAATTGTTTTGGTTCTGCGTTTGAAGAGGATAATTTGTAAGAGATCATTTGGATTCAAGTTTTTGAATTTGTCAAGTACCTTTACACGCGCACACAGTTCTAATAACTGGCAAACAAATCTGTTGTTCTATTCCTATGTTGGGGCATGCTCCTAAGGGAAACAATACAAGACCCTTCGATCTTTTTTGCCTTTAACCCAATGTGTGAAGATGACCAATTTAGTTGTGCTATTGACCTTTTCATCTTTTTCCATCCAGGTCTTGCTCATCTTTTTGCTTACCTTCGAACATCGCTTCAGGCCAACAAAATGTTAGGGAAAACATGATTTTTGATCCTTATAGTTTTATTATATTTTGTTTTTAATCGCTTTAATTTCTTTTCTCTCAATATTTTCAGTCCCTATAGTTTTAGAAAGATTGGGTGATTTTTATTTTTAAGATTCCTATATTTTTCATTTTTTCAGTGAAAATCAATGGAAAAAAACTATAGGGATTAAAAGCAAAATTTAATAAGATTATAGTGATGAAAGATTATGTTATCCTATTTTTTAATTAAAAACCATTGTCTTAGTGCACTGAAAATTGGAACTTCACAGGGTCATGTGGTATTCGGTTTCATGTTTTGAATTGTGCTCATCGCCATATGTTATTATTATTTTATATGATTTTTTTTTTCTGTGTTCCCAAAAATGAACTGTCCATATTTTTAGTCAAGTGAATTCACAATATTTACTCCATGGGCTGATAACTTTTGGTGTGGGCAAATGTCTGAACGCAACAGACTAAAGACTCCGAGACTAGCAAGTGCATGTTTGTATCCATTAGATATCAACTTGGGGAAGGTATTCTTTTTTTTTCCGTTTTGCTTTTGGGGTTGCGCCAACAATCATTCATTAATTTTATGCGCAAGGAATGTGAAGATATTCGGGGAAAAAATTGATATTTTGCAGCTGATTGAAAATGGAATGTGTTGAAAGGCTTTTTGGAATACAAAATTGAAAGGTTTTAATGTGCTAACATGATCACTCAAACATCTTTGAAAGGTTTATTATAATCCTCAAATTAGACGAAAACAAATAGACTGTAAAGTATGATGTTGATTGCTGTTTGAAAATACTACAGCACTTTATTTATTAGATATTCCAGAATGCCAAGATTTTTGTATTATGTTCAATAAAAATAATCCAAACCAGCTCAATTAATAATTGGTATATATTTTCAATGCCTGCGTATTCTATCTCTATTAGAAAAAAGGATAATAAAATTATTTAAATTATATAAATGATAATTTGGTTTTTCTATGTTATAATTTTTAATAAATTTTAAAGTGAAAAAATTATTTTATCCTTATTAAAAATAAGAAGTTTTAATTATAATTTTTGCTTAAAAAATAATAATTTTCATTTTGAAAATAATAAAAGTTGAGCAAAAAATTATAACTTGTTAAGTATAATTTTTGTTATTAAAAAATAAACCTCAATTATAATTTTTGCTTAAGAAATAATAATTTTTATTTTGTAAATCATAAGAATGAAATAAAAAATTACAATTTATCAAATGTAATTTTTATTATTAAAAAATAAATTTTTAAAATAATATGTTTCAATCACAATTTGCATTTAAGGAATAACAATTTTTATTCATAAAATGGCAAGAATTGATCAAAAAATTACAACTTATAAATAAAGGTAAAATCTTTTTTAATTTAAAATTTATTGACTCAAAAAAATGATATTGTCATTTATGTAATTAGGAGAATTTTATTTTCATTTTTCCTCCTTTTTCTTAAAGTGTTTGCGGATTTTCTTTATACAGTCTTTTGTTAGTATTACTTAAAACTTAATAATTATTTTTTAAAATAATAATGTCAGTAATTTTATTTGGGAGTACCAAGGATGCCTCTTTAGTTTTAGTTTCTTTTTTTCATTTCATTCCATTTTGCATGCTAAATGGTTTCTTAAAACAGAAAATTTTAAGCAAAAATATATATTATTTGTTCATATTCATATCTTGTCATCCTTGGAAATCTATATATTTTTATTATTTTTAATTAAATATATGAGGAATATTTTTTTTATTTATAAAAATCACTTGTTCCATTTTTATTTTTATTTCTTTCTATTTTGTAAATTAAACGGCCTTTCAAGTCTTGAATAAAGCTTGAGAATTCCGATGATTGTTAAACAAATTTAAAAAAATATGATGAATGTTGGCAAAAGAAATTTCCAAAGTTACTCTTTGACTTTCGTGACGAACTGAGAGAATTAGTAGCACATTATAATTGCAGGAAACATCAAACATGACTCACGCTAAATATAAGTGTGGTGGGAGTCGTGTGCCAAATGTGATCAAAAGAAGGAATTCCTCCTTTACATGGAGAGGGATCCGTGCTGCTCGGGACAAGTTCAAGAATGGGTTAGGGAAGAAAATTGGAAATGGCAAGAACAACTTAGTTTGAGAACTGGTCTATGATGAATGTGCCATTAATTGATTTGGTGGCAAGCACGGAAGGCTTCATTGATAGAAATGAAAAAGTCATGGATTATGTAAATCAATGGTCATTGGGGCTTACAAAAGCTCAACTCTTGATTCTAGCCTAATTCAGTTATCTATCTGACTTGTGTCCGCCCCCCCTATGGGGAGAGAGAAGAGAATAAATACTTTTAAAAACTATCTACTGAGAGTTGTTTACTGTTAAGTCTGCTTATCTTTTCCTTTTTGTGGGTACAAGAAGACTTGGAGGTGGTAGGTCCTGAAAAAGATCAAATCATCAATGTAGCTATTTACACCTGGGCGATAGCGCACACCGCGGAGCTGAGATGCAAGAGACGACTATCAATAGAGCAGAGTTGCCCATTTGGTTGTGAAATAATTTAAGATTCCATGGATCTGATGGGGGACTATTCATAAGCACTTAACCGATGGAAGGATGTAGTCCAAGAAGAGCATTAAATGACTTTTGTGAACCTTGCCGGCACAGATTGGATCAAATGGAATTTATCTCATGAGGCTAGTAAGGCGTATATGAAAAAGGTGAACTGGAAAACACTATTTGGGCAGATGAACTGGGATATTTGGGTAGGTAGATGTATAAGGGATTCTGATGGTAACAACTGAAAATCTTCATACAATCCTTCCACTTTCTTACGAGCTTGCTCAGACGATGATCTCATTCATTTAGCCCCTTGTTTGAATTATGAAAAAAATAACTTAAATGTTAGAGCTCAACCTAGATATGATGCTTTTAGGCTTGAAGTTGGTGGATCTGTAAACGTAAATGGAAGCAGTGGATGTGGTGGCCCTATTTGAGATAAGAATGGCAACTGGGTTAAAGGTTTCAACTACAAATTAATTAATGTTTCCCTTATGGTTGTGAAGGTCGCTGTTATTCAGGACCTTTAGTTGTGCTGGTTTTACAAGGTCAGAGATGTGGCTATCTACAATGATTATATTGAAGCTATCCAATTTATTCAAAAAGGTTGTGAAGATGGTCGCACCTTCAAGGATATCATTGATGAAGCCAGATTGTTATGCCATGGAGAGTGGAGACTGACACTCCATCATTTTAGTAAAAATTGCAACTCTTACACTAACAGATTAGCTAAGCTTTCTCATAATTCGAATGTTAATTTTTGTACCTTTGATCAACTCTGATTTCCCGCACACCAGGCGGTAGTTGATGAAAGTGTAACCATGAATGATGATCATGCTTTGTAATCACATTTGATTAATGTATGCTTTATTAAAAAAAAAAAAAAGAATACTTGTGTCTTATGTGTTTGAAATGAAGTACCACTCCTTTTGCAAGATTAAAATAAACTCAAAATATGTTCTTAAATTACTAAACTATATAATTTAAGCCCTCGAAATATAGTAGTGACACGGGTTACTAACATCTCACGAGTTCATTCGTTTCAGCCACTAATATCCAGGACAAAAGCCAGATCGACATAAACAATCCAAGGATCAAATTAAATTACACGACATTATTTTTTTTGCTTAAATCATGCCACTGATTCAAATTGATATGCTATTTGGAATTCCTTTTCCAGTGACTCCAGGACCAGAAAACGGCTTCATTAGCTCATAAGGCACAATCCCAGCTCCATTCCTATTCTTCAACTTCTCATTACCATTTCTTTCGTCTATAATCTCCTCAATCTCCTTCAGCCTCCCATTAAACCTCCCAAAGGCTGCCATTATGGTTGGATCCTCAGCCCATGAAGGCTCTATCTTCTGCCCTATATACTCTTCATCTGGGGAATGATCAGATAGTAGATACAGAACTGCCATCACTATAGTGGCTTGAATCTGTGAAGGGAAATTCTCCAAAAGGGCTTGCCCAGGCTTGTTCACAAATCTCTCCCACTCTTCCTTTGAAGTGTCCTCTGTAGGCATCTTGTTTCTGGCAATGGAGGGTCTGTTAGGGAAGTAGCCCCCATAAGCATATTGAGCAAAGTTCACAGAAGCATGATGAGCTGAGGCTAGCCAGGCTATGGTGGTGAGGATCTGAATTAGGTCCTGCGGGGTTTGGAGATTTGGCCACCATGGCTCATTCTTCTTGTCTCCATGGCCCACCATTCTGATCTCAGTCCACCATGCTTGGAGCTCCTCGTCTGACTCTATGAGGCTTGGGTTTGGATAGTAGTGAGTGACATAGTCCGTGAACCACTGCTTGAGGGCATCCCATATGAGAAGGCCGTCGTTGGCAAAAGGGTAGTCTTCTATTGTTAGCTTCAGGCCATGGGGTGCATTAGGATCTTTTTCTGCCATTCCTCTGTAACAACAACGACGACAACAATATCAGCATCAGCTTACAAAGCACAAGCATGCTTATTTTGAGGCCTGATACATGTGTTGAATGGTATTGTTATGACTTCATACCAACATATATCCATCGAAACACATCAATCGAGGGAAAATATGATTTTAAAATAAGATACTAGGAAGAAAAGAAAAGAAAAGATGATAAAACTCACATACGCATATCATAGCTAAAATAAAATTATGTTTGATCTTGGATATGTGCCACATGGACACATTCTAATGAAGCCAAAAGGCATAGACTAAGATTCTATAATTTCCACTTTGACATAAAAGTTTTTAAGGTTTTGGGACTTCATTCTCAAACTTTTAAACAATAAAGACCAAAAATAAAATCATGTGAAATTAAAGAGACGAACAAATTGACAAAATTTATCCAGTAATTCCTTTTAAGACTCTATCACTAGATGGAAAGTCGTGAGCATATATGTACCTGTCAATAAGATCATTGGGAAGTGCCTGCAAATCAAACCTCCAAAGCTGGTCATACACTTCAGAGCTGAACTCCATAGAATATTTTCCAGTTGAGAAAGAGATCTCAATGATGCCATTAGCACTAATGAGTGCTTGACGAGCAAGAGCATTGATCTCCATTGTATATCTCAAATGAGGGTGCAGCAATCTGTAAATAGGATGCATCGCACTGAGCTGTCTGTTTGTTGCAATCACAAATGGTTCTACAGCACAGTGACTTCTTAGCCTGCAAATGTTGGCATACATATTTTAGTCTTTATCTTAATTCAGAGGTAATTCTAAACTTCTATTGAGCCCTATCAAATGGAAGCTCATGCTTCAACAAGAAATCACAAATGTACTTTACTATCATGACATTATTTGCAGACCAACAGACCATATAGTATCATTACCAAAAAATGAAAAAGATCACCTAGTATTACTTTATTGCCTTTGCAATGAAATTTAAACAAAATCAAACTTTTCAATGTGGAAAACATCCATTGAAAACTGATTGATATTAGGCAGTCTCAGCGATGAATAAGAGGTTATACTCATAAATAAACTAATTATTGGGTTCATTTCTCAAGATTGGTAAAAACATAAATTAGCCTTTGAGAACAACATAAATCCTCTTAGCATCCCTCTGTTACTTAACGAAAAATACTAGTTGGCAAGATATTTATTATTTTCAAGAATTAATTCTTGCCTTCACTATTCTTTACCAGTGATTTAGCAATGATTCAATACATGTTATGTCTGATATTTCATGCTTGATGAATTAATATGAGCATATCAGTGCCTGTGTTTCATAAGTTACTCTATGCATATGAAAGATAGGTAAAAGATAAAGGCGAGATGATACAGACCAATGGCTGACAAGTTCATGGACACCAGAATCATGGGCAAGCACATGAGCTTTGGCAAGTCTCCAAAGCCAAAGATTGGTGGAACCACTGGAAGGCGTGAAGACTTGCCTCCATTGTGGCTTCCCATCCATTGGTGGTCTAGTTAGCTCAATAGCCAGTGGCTTCAGTGTGCCTTGTGCGGTCAAGAAGAACACTGTCCTTGATCCATACAATGTTCTTCCCTCGAGTTGCCTCACTTTGCTCACATATGGAAGCAGTAAATCATGGTAATCTATGATGAACAACTTCTTCTCTTCAATGGCCTGCATTGCATGCACACACACACACACACACACTCTCATCAAACAACATTATGGACAATGTTTCACTGAAATGGCTGGTTAGTCAGTGAAAACAATGGTCTGTTTTTTCAACTGTGATCAGAACGTGCTTGGATAATATATGTGTTTTGTTAAAATTATAACATGCTGGACTAATCAAATTATCTGTAACATTGCTTAACAACCATGTTCAGTTAATTTAATAGAGTACCTTTTCAACCGTGGTGTAGCCACTTATCTGTTGCTCAATTACATCTCTGGTGATCGCTGATTCAGGGGGACCATAAATAGTGGGGTTTAACTTACTTATCAGTGGCCATTCCTGCATGATAAATAATAAAATAGAACCAGAAGAAAACATGTAAAATTATTGAAAAAATATAAGTAATATAATTAAAAAAGGGTATACATTCATGTCAATTCATACCTTAACCAGTTTTATGCTACAAGGGTTAACACCTGCCAGAGTCTCTCTGGCAAATTCCTCATCAGAAAACCAAAAGAATTCATCCCCTGCAATTCCAAATTTCACAAACATATTAAGTAAAGCGAATTACAGACAATGAATTAATTGGTGATAAGATTATTTATGAGCTCTTTTCTGTTGGCTTAAACTTTTGAGTCAAATTATACTCACTGTCAATAGTATCAGGGGCCTCGAAGCGCAAGACTTGTTGGCTACCTGAAACAACTTGAATGAGCTTGGGAATGAACGTCTGAAGGAGTCCATTGCCACTGTTCTTAAGAGTTGGCACCTCAAATCCATCTTTGAAAAGCATATCTATTTCTGAGAATGTCAGAAATCCAAGGTTTTGGTCTACCGCCGCCGCATCTAAGGATTGTATCAGTGCACTCACCCCTGCGGATACTGTGGTTGCGGTGAATTGAGTCTGTTTGGTCTCTGAGAATGCTTCGTCGCGAGGAACGTACACACTTAAACTCCTCTTCTCTGAAGATGGGTCTGCCATATCACAGGATAGTTCCATTAATTAATTAATTAATTAATTATGGGAGAAAAAAACTTGGAACATAAAGCCAATGCAGAGAACTGAGCAAGGAATGAAAAGAGTGAAGAGAGAACCTGCAGAAGAAGGTTTGCGACCAGTGCGACAGCGTCTAGGGTAGGGATGCCGGGAACCACCAAGAACGGGTCTGGTGAGGTCGACGTTGGAATCAGGGTCGCCAAGGTCGTTATAGACGTCATAGTCGTATATTCTATCGGAACTCTTTCTTTCTCCGTCGCCATTGCCTCTCACCTCCGCCAGCTCCTCCTCTCTCAGCCTTTTCAGGCCACTTGGTGTCTCCGATGGCAAATATGACTGCGTGCATGCCCATGCACAACCCACTTTTAATTTCTCTACTCTCACATTAGTTGATTAAACTACGCATTCACAATGCAATATTAATATGCAATGTAACTTGTTAAATTTCACATCATTTTACTAGCTTTTAGTTGAGAATTTGATTTACCAAAACTTTATAATAATCAAATAGTCCCAATATCCTTACTAGATAAAAATGCTCGATATATTATATTAAATATATAAATAAATAATATAGTGAATATTATTTGAGTAATTTTAATTCTTAAACTATTTAGTTAGCAATAACACCATTATAATTTATAGGTATTTGTTTATTATATCTTATAAGTAATTTTAAATTTTTGATAACATAAGTAATTTTAATTTTGTCGTATATATCTATTCAGTATTAAGCAAATTTCAATCCTATGCTTTGATGAGTCCATTTCTTATTTTTAGGGTAGTGCAAAGTATATGTAAATTTGTTTTTATATACTCCCTCTGTTAAGGAGTTGAATATTTAAAAATATAAAATATTTTTAATTTTTTAAAGTATAATTATTATATTTTTTTTAAAAGTATCCTTATTGATAATGACCCTATATTTATTATAGGGTGTTCTATATGAGTAAATATAAAAAAGAGGGTTAGTTAAAAAGTAAGTAACTACTTTATTAGGTGTTGAGATTTGATTAAAAATGCCTTATATTTTTTAATGAAGGGAATATAATTTTTCAAATGAGCAAAATAAGACTTCTTAAATGATTTGTAGTAAGATCTACATGCATATCTCTAATATAGTATGGAATAACTATATACTAATGGAATAAAAATTCAACATCCTAAATCTCATAAGTTTTAAAAGAGAGGCATGAAGAGGGTATTAAGTACTTTTTTTAGGACCTTGATTAACTAATTAAGGCAATTACTTAGATGATTTTTTGCCATCCACTTCCACAGCCCTGTTTCGTATGAAAATCATATATTGCAATAAAAAAAGGTATTGTACTCTTCATTTTTATATATAAGAAATAAAAATTATATTACAGAGTTTAAAAAAGTTGACTAGCTATAATAATTATGTTAAAAATAAAAAATGGACTAAAATATTCTGTGTTAATTAATATAAGCATGTATGAATTATTTTTTATTAATGTAAATTATGAAGAGTAATTTAGAAAATAGTTAATAAATACTTATTAAAATAAGTAATTTTTTATTTTTAAAAATAAATAAAAATTAATAATTTTTTTATAAATAAAAAATTGAGAGAATATTTATTTTTAGCAACACCGTGTCACAGTAAAAGAAAAGGCAACAACCGGCTTTATCTTATTACACAGCGCACAGGCACGGGATGGATTATATCACGTTATTATATTTTATTAATTATAAAATCTTTTGACTAATTGTTAACCAAATATTTAAGGACGTAAACCAACAAACAATTTAGGGAAAAAAAAAAACAAGAAGAAGAAGACGGATTCATTATTGAAGGAATCACATCCAAGAATGACCATTTAATCAAATTAGTCATATACAAAGATAAACAAAAAGTGACATTCAAAAAAAAAAAAGGTTTACATTTCTGTTTTAACAATAATTAATTTTATATTGATCATTACCAGTGAATAGTATATTTGAGTAGTCTATGAACGTAATTCTGAATTAATTAATTTTGTGGAGGTTTGAACTCACCACATCTTACGCTTACTGATCTATATGTCCAAGTCATTAGCCTTAACGTGAGCGAACTAATTAATGAGGAGTAATTTGAAAAGAAAGGAACCTTATGATTGGAGAAGAAGACTCTGAGGAGAGAAGGCTGGATCCATGAATCGCAGGTGAAACGCAGAGGGCCCTGAGGGAAGCCGTCGAGAAGAATGTCGTGGAGGAACATCTCCTTGCTGTGGTCATTCCGCACCAGAACCGCCCCCACCTCCCCAAAATCTCTGGGCACCTCAAACGACGCGTCGTACAACGATATCTCCTTCTCCGTCTTCCCTGTCCTTCGCGCTTCCCCTTTGATGGTGGTCTTGTCTGCGTTTGAAGGCACCAGCTCAATCCTCAGAGACTTGCCAAACAAGTCTTTAAGCTTGGACACTCTGGCCGTCCCTTTAACCTTCCAATGATTCTCCATTGTTCTCTCTTGTTCTCTCTTATCAATGTGCTTGTTCATGCCAATCCCGTCATCGATATCTCCTCCTTTATAGGCTGCTTCTGTCGGCTTTTCTTGTGTGGACCTTCCTTCATGGACTGTCTCTCTCACAAGGGATAGAGAGGTGAGAACCGGACGCTCTTGTTCATCTCATAATTCTCATTCACATGCATTCACCACTTGCAGGCTGACTATTCAATTATTCCCTTTTCAATTTGCTCTCCCTCATTAGTTTTCTGTGGGCTTAGGGATCCCATATCTTTGTTCACCGACGCTATCTGGTTGGCTGCTCCAACTCCAGACCCTTTGTTAAGTTAGGTAAACGCCTTGTCGGTTCATCTAAATGCTTGGTGCTTTAATATGCTGGCTACCCTCTGTTTCCATATATAGCTATATCTGCATACTTTAATTTGTGTTCATAATTTCCACGCTCCACCTTCAGATTATCGCTTGATGTGATCATAATTTCCCAAATCTATTACTTCCACCAATTTCAAGAAGTATTTTGTAGTCTTATTTATAAATTACATTATTAAATTTTTATTTTAAATTTTACTTTTACCCTCGTTAAATATTTGTAAGAAAAAATATGTTATCAAATAAAAATAAAATTAAAAATTTATTAAATTTTTAGACAGTATTAATAAATTTTAATATTTTTTTTAATTTTAATAAAATATGTTAAAATATTATAGAACAGGTGTGCGAGTTTTCGTTACCTCTTAGAAGTAAAAAAAAAAAATATTTTGATTTATATGCAATAATCGAAAGGAGCCTCGTGGTCATCATGCATGAAGCTTACCGTAGTTGACAAGTCGATAAGCCAAGAAAGAGTTTGTTTTAATAGTATGTACTGCAACTGAAGTCGACTCCAAGATTATTTGCCACGTTCATGCCCCCTAAACTTAAATATTTATTTTGTATTTTAACTCCTCAATAATACACGAGTTTTATTAGATCCGCCCATGCGGTGAGTCGATAACAAATCTTAAGTACATAAAATACAGAAATGAAATTGATGATCAGTTTAAATTTAAAAAAAAAACTGTTTTCAGAGATAAAAGCTGGTGCTCGCAATTTTTAGGAAATAAGTAATGCAATATAGTATATGAAGTTGATTTCCCATACAAGGCGTAAAGCACAAACAAGCTACAAGTAATTTCTTACACGAAAAAGTTTTTTCCCCTTAATAACAACGATTCTTTTATAAATACCCACCAGTCATCTTCTTTCTTTAATAATGCAAATGATGAATACTATTTACTTCTAGGCAGAATAGTAAGTTAGAGTAGTTTTATTTATTAACGCCCGACCTTTACAGGTGTCTTGTATAAATACTCCAACAGACTATTCAATAAAGTAAGAGATTCATTTCTCCTTTTCCATTATTGCTCATGGTACGAGCCAACTGGACCCTAATCTATAAGCTCATAAATGTTTAGGTTGGGTTCTAAATTTATTTTTAATATAATATTATTTTTTAATTTTTAAAAATAATTTAATAATTTAATTTTTATAGTTAATAAAAATTAATTTTAATTATTAATTAATTTAAAAATGACAAAAAAGATTTTATAAATTACAAACAATGATTCAAAAAAATACAAAAAAAATTTTAAAAATACAAAAAAAATTTTAGGTCATTTTCAAATTAATTAATAATTAAAATTAATTTTTATTAATAATAAAAGATAAATTGTATTATTTTTAAAAATTGAGAGGTAACATTATATTATAAATACATTTAAACTCAAGGCCAATTTTTTCTTTTATTCCTATCCTTATCTACATGCAGAGGATTTGAACTTTCTAAGCCTCCAAGGCTCCAAACATGTGCTCTTTGTCGCGTGTGAAATTTGCCTTTTGTTTTTTAGTTTGTTAGTCATTGTAATGACTATGTCACGAAAATGACTTTTGAACGAAACTGGCTTTGTCGACTCGTTTAATCCATACTTCATTATCCAGGATTTTTTTTTATTGCTTTTCTGAAAATGTTATGGATAAATTGAAATAATATGGTCTAGTCAGCATATAGTATTAATTTTTCAAGTTAATACTTTCATAAAATTATATTTTTAATTAAATATTTTATAAATTTCACATATAAAATTACTTTCCTATCCGCTGCTAAAAAATGGATGCTTTAGTATAATGTTTTCACTGCGATTATAACAAATAACAGTTAGGTATGTTTGAGTTGGTAAATGAAAATTCGAATTTTAGATAAATGTTAAATATAAAATTAATGTATTTTAAATTCATAAGCATATAAGTAAATCCGAATCTATAAATTTTTAAATGCCTAAACAAGAGACAATTTTTAATTTATTATAAAAATAAAATTGATTTCTTCTTTTCGAAAAAAAAAATGATTATCTCATTTCTGCATCAGAATATTTGCTTCTTGTGTGTTAGTACTGAAGATCATACAACGCATTTTCCAAGATTAAAATAAGCTCAAAATATGTTCTTAAATTACTAAACTATTTAATTTTAGCCTCGAAATATAATGTTGACACGGTTACTAGCATCTCACCAGTTCATTAGTTTCAACCACTAATCTCTTGGACTAGAGCCAGTTCGACATAAACAATCCAAGGATCAAATTAAGGGCAGTTTATTTTAGCTTATTTTATGAAAAAATTACTTAATTTTTTTAAAAAATTGTTTTGTAAATTTTTATTATATTTGTTTAAACTTTTAAAAATAATCATAATCTGAAAAAGAATTTCTGAGTAGCTCCTTAAAATAATCTAATGCGATGGATAAAAGAGGTTATTTTAAAAATGCATGATACGCAAAAATATTAACAAGGTAAAAATAATTTATTTTTATAAAATAAAATTTAAGGAAGATATTATAAAATTTAAAAGCAACTAATTAATAATCATTTCTTATTATTCTAATCAAATATAAACAATGTTTGTTTTTTATAAAATATTTACAAAATAAATCTAAGCTACATAAAAATCACTTATTTTTTAATCTTAAACAAACGATTTTAAATTAAACAACATTACTTTTCTGCCTAAATCATGCTACTGATTCAAATTGATATGCTATTTGGAATTCCCTTTCCAGTAACCCCAGGACCAGAAAATGGCTTCATTAGCTCATAAGGCACAATCCCAGCTCCATTTCTATTCTTCAACTTCTCATCGCCATTCCTGGCGTCTATAATCTCCTCAATCTCCTTCAGCCTCCCATTAAACCTCCCAAAGGCTGCCTCTATGGTTGGATCCTCAGCCCATGAAGGCTCTATCTTCTGCCCTATATACTCTTCATCTGGGGAATGATCAGATAGCAGATACAGAATAGCCATCACTACAGTGGCCTGAATCTGTGAAGGGAAGCTCTCCAAAAGGAATTGCGCAGGATCCTTAAGAAATCTCTCCCACTCTTCCTTTGAAGTGTCCTCTGTAGGCATCTTGTTTCTGGCAATGGAGGGTCTGTTAGGGAAGTAGCCCCCATAAGCATATTGAGCAAAGTTCACAGAAGCATGATGAGCTGAGGCTAGCCAGGCTACGGTGGTGAGGATCTGAATTAGGTCCTGCGGGGTTTGGAGATTTGGCCACCATGGCTCATTCTTCTTGTCTCCATGGCCCACCATTCTGATCTCAGTCCACCATGCTTGAAGCTCCTCGTCTGACTCTATGAGGCTTGGGTTTGGATAGTAGTGAGTGACATAGTCCGTGAACCACTGCTTGAGGGCATCCCATATGAGAAGGCCGTCGTTGGCAAAAGGGTAGTCTTCTATTGTTAGCTTCAGGCCATGGGGCGCATTAGGATCTTCCTCTGCCATTCCTCTGTAACAAGAAGAACATCAGTTTCAGTATCGGTATCATTTGGGGAGAAAAATGATTTTAAAATAAGATGCTTTGAAGAAAATAAAAGATGATAGAACTCACGTGGACATGTCATATTAAAATAAAACTATGTTTGAGCTTGGACATGTGCCACTAAGATACAATCTAATGAAGCCAAAAAGCAAAGACTAAGATTCTATAATCTTCATTTTGGCATGGAAGTTTTTAAGTTTTTAGGACTTCATGCTCAAACTTCTAAACAATAAGACCAAAAATAAAATCATGTGAAATTAAAGAAACCAACAAACAATTTATCCAGAAATTTCTTTAAGACTGTATCTCTAGATGGAAAGTGATGAGCATATTTGTACCTGTCAATAAGATCATTGGGAAGTGCCTGTAAATCGAACCTCCAAAGTTGGTCATACGCTACAGAGCTGAACTCCATAGAATATTTTCCAGTTGAGAAAGAGATCTCAATGATGCCACTGGCACTGATGAGTACTTGACGAGCAAGAGCATTGATCTGCAATGTATATCTCAAATGAGGATGCAACAATCTGTAAATAGGATGCATCGCACTGAGCTGTCTGTTTGTTGCAATCACAAATGGTTCTACAGCACAGTGACTTCTTAGCCTGCAAATGTTGACATACATATTTTAGTCTTAGTCTTAATTCAGACGTAATTCTAAACTTCTATTGAGCCCTATCAAATGAAAGCTCATGTTTCAACTATAAATCACAGAAATGCTTATACTTTACAACCATGACATCATTTGCTGACCAACAGACCCCATGGTATCGTTATAAAAAACGAATTAAAAGTGTTACCTAGTAGTATTATTTTGTTGTGTCTACAATAAAATTTAAAAAAAGAAATCAAACATTTCAAAGCGGTAAAAAACTATTTAATGAACTGATTGACATTCGGTGGTCTCAGAGAGATGAATAAGAGGTTATACTCATAAATAAACTAATCATTTGGTTCATTTCTCGAAATTGGTAAAAACATAAATAGTCTTTCAGAACAACATAAATCCTCAAAGCAATATCCCTCTGTCACTTCACAAAAGGACTACCGGCCAAGAAATTTATTATTTTCAAGAACTGATTCTTGCTTTCATTATCATTCAACATGGACTTAGCAATGATTCAATACGTGTTATATCTGATATTTCATGTTTGATCAGTTAATGTGAGCATATCAGTGCCTGTGTTTCTAAGTAACTCAGTGCATGAAAGATGGATAAAAGATAAAAGCGTAAAGATACAAACCAATGGCTGATAAGTTCATGGACACCAGAATCATGGGCAAGCACATGAGCTTTGGCAAGTCTCCATAGCCAAAGATTGGTGGAACCACCAGAAGGCGTGAAGACTTGCCTCCACAGCGGCTTCCCATCCATTGGTGGTCTAGTTAGCTCAATAGCCAGTGGCTTCAGTGTGCCTTGTGCGGTCAAGAAGAACACTGTCCTTGATCCATACAATGTTCTTCCCTCGAGTTGCCTCACTTTGCTCACATATGGAAGCAGTAAATCATGGTAATCTATGATGAACAACTTCTTCTCTCCAATGGCCTGCATTGCGCATGTATTCATCAAACAACCTTAGGACCAGTGTTTTACAGACATGGCTGCAGGTTATAAGGGCAGTGAAAAACAATGTTCTATATTTTCAACTGAGATCAAAACG